TAGTCATTCGTGGTCTAAGTTAACCGTCGATGGTCCTTTAAGTTTCAAAATCTAACAAGTCGCGCGTGGTCCTCTTGTGATCATTCGACTTTCAAATTTAACAATTCGTGGTCCAAGTTAACCGCTCATGGTCCTTCAAGTTTCAAAATTTAACTAGTGGTCCTCATAAAAAGACCATGCGTCCACTGAAACTTGATTTCATGACCTTCCATATGGGAGAGTCACTACATACCATCTAAGCACAAGGTGTTTGGCATTAACTATACATGACATATAAAATATGTCAACTGCAGACACATAATCTGAAGGTTATTTTGGACTATGGTTCACCGTGCAGGTCCTGACCTGGTCAATGACATAATTAGCCAATTAGCTTATTATAATTTAATTGAAATTATATTTATGACGATGAGAACTGAATGATTGTATTGAATGAACTGTAATAATAATTGTACGGACATGGAAAATATATACAAGAAGAATTATAGGAAGACATGGATTGAGAGTCCTAAAGTGACTCAAATACAAAGAGTCCTAATATTAGTCTTAATGACAAAAGCATTATATTCATTCTTCCAAAAGGCTGAACCCCGACAGAGTATTTGAGAAGATGTAAATCATGGTAACTCAACTGAACATGAACCACAGAGGCTAGACCGGTGCTCACTGCGCACAAGGAAATCCCCTCACTTTGAAAGGTTGCTTCCACACTGCCGCTGATAAGACTCGATCCCTGGTCATCATTCTTCTAAAGTTTCACCTCTATGACCAGTTTGAGCTGCCAATGCGGGTTAAAAAAAAAAGCATTATATTCATGCATGAATTGAAATATGTACTACAGATTTGGCGCTGGAGATGGTTAAAAAGTACCTGATTTGGGCCGACATAACGGGTTGTGTAGCAATATGTCTGCTTTGGATAAACAAACACAATCTAAGCTTTTGGCAAAGTTTTCTATACTATTGTGAGTAACTCATTTCCATCTTTAATTATATATTTACTTATTCAATTCTGATAAATCCGGCCATCTAGTTTCAATGGCTTAGTAGACAAGGCAAATGTCATTGTGTGCATAAGGGATCTGTTTACTTTGGACATAATTTCCATCCTACCACTGCCGAAATTTATACCTTAATCTGTTCTCCTAAATCATTGAGTTAAGCCCATGCGAGCAATTCAGCCATCTAGCTACTACTATACATGCCTGCCTTTTCTTTACTTATACTGCATGGATAATGCAGGTGTTTCTAAGGGGTCAACATCTGGGGTGTTAGGGAAGAGCATTGTAAACAAAATGGTGATGCACCAAGAAGCTATGAAGCTTCTTAAATGCTTGTGCGACCAACTCAAATTCAAAACCCTAAATGAAACACAAGTGCGCTCACTCACATTGGGTGCAATGTTTCGAGCAACAAGTTCAGACATCTGCCATGTCATTCTAAATATTGTGGAAGCATATCCTTTGATGGCGTATTATTCCACAAACTCCATGGGGCAGAATATACTTCACGCTGCAGTAGAGAACCGCAGCGAAAATGATTTTAACCTTGTTTGTAGAACCAGGGTGCTTAGTCGCCTTTTATCGGATAGTCAAGACAGAAATAAGAATAGCGTTTTGCATTTGGCTGGGAATTGAAATTGGCGCCTCCACACAAACTAAATCTTGTTTCTGGTGCAGCTCTGATCTTCAGATGCAACGAGAGTTGCAATGGTTTAAAGAAGTGCAAAAAATGGGAGACACACTTATTTGTAGGCTATTGTGCCCATTAATATTGTAACTGTTACTAGTAATATATATAAAAGTTGACCCCATGTAACAATAAGGAGAGACACACTGAAAATATTGTACTCTAAACATAGCAATACGAAACATCACTTTCCAAATATACTCTGGTAATGTCGTTATTATTCCAATAGTACACTTTATTTTTCCTTCTCCCAACATATATGGTGGACTAATCATATATAGCATCTTATTTATTTATTTAGTTTTTATGACAAAGAAATCACAAGATAAATCATATATACTCTTGTGTAATAGTCCGCAAGTGTAGAAATGAGAATTTAACTTGACCTCGATTGGGAAACTCAATTCCCGCCTCGACAAGGGTGGGGATAGGAGTTTTACCACCAGCACCGAACCCCGACTCCAAGTCCCAGAAATTAGTACATATATATTATATTATATATATTAAACATTAGATATTTAAATATATAAATATTTAAATTAATTGTATAATATAAATAAAATATCATTTTATAGTGTACTAAAAATTGGGAAGTAGCCAATTAGCAATTATTGGGATGATATCACAATTACCATTTTAAATGGGTGGTCATAGGTTCGAAAATGGTGGTGCAAGTGGCTTAGATTATTTGGGTTAAAAATATTTGAGAAAATATAAAACATATACCACCTTGTAATGAATCATGAGTATTTCAAAAAAAATGAAAAGTGTATGCATGAAAACAATTTTAAAAAACCGAGGCCGGGAATAACCCCCGAAAATTCTCATGGGAATGGGGAAAGTGAATAAAACTGAACCCATACCTTTAAATACGAGAATTATGCACTACCCATTCGATCAATCATTTCGAACCATACGAGAAAGACTCGGACCACATTGTGGTTTACACCAAAAAAAAAAAAAAAACTATATTATATTATAATTGTTGGAATTGAAGCATGTACTCTATCTCAACTAAAAGTTTAAGCTAATAGTTGGATTATGTATTAATGGCTACATGCTCAATTGGTACTGTTTAGCTGGTTGATATTAAAGCAAGGAATTGAAAGCTTTGAATCTGGTACTCAACATATATAACAAACAAGCCACTTGTTTGCCATAAATTAAAGTGCATGTGCTAGCTAGCTTTGATCGAGCTCGCGTGAGACATGCATAATTGCATAATAACATTATTCTGATTCTTTGGCTATTGATTTTGAAGCAAATTAAAGCAAGAAAGTAAGCAAATCTACTTTGAATTTGAATTGGCACGTAAGTACGTACTGGTCTACCACAAAATAATACACTAACCCATGCAAGCAAACTCATCATTTTATTTCTATTAAACTTTCTTGTTCTCAACTTGTTCCCTTTCTCCACGATCAATGTCTCAGTGGATACTGGATACGTTGATGTCACGTTACCATGTTTGGCTTCATTTATTAAGGCTTCGGATCAGTGTTCCGTTGTAGTTGCGCTCCGAATGAATATTCTGTTGTAGTTGTGCTCCAGATGAGTGTTCCGTTGTTGCCATGCTCTGGATAAGTGATTCATTGTAGCTGCGTTACAGATGAGTATTCCGCTGTAGCTGCATGCGCTCCTGATAAGTGTTCCATTGTAGCTGTGCTCTGGATCAGTACTGTTCCGTTGTAACCGATCCTGAGGCCGAAATTTTTTTGGTCCATTTGTATTCTTTTATTTTGTTCGTGACAAAATAGCATAAAAGGAACAACAAAGAAGACTACATCTCTACAAAAAGACCAAAAATCTTCACCAAGTCACTAACCATAGCAAGGCTAAATGATCTAATGGACAAGCTCAATGTTGTCTCTAGAAAACTTTAAGATTGAGAGGCATATTACGATCTGTGTATTCTAACATACTAAAATTCATTTTCCCTCTCCCTATATTATTAAAAATATTGTCATTTATCATTCCTATATCCAAAACTCTTTGTATCCTTCAAAATATGTATCTTCATCATGTACTTTAAATCATCATTAATCAATAATAATATCATATAGGGGCGTTTCCAATTTTAGTCCACCTTAAATTTTTTTGTCACTTTATAACCACTATTATTGAATGTGTTCCACTTTTAGTCCCACCGTTAGTATTTCCATCAAGAGGCCGTGTAATCTAGGGGTATTTTCACCTTTCTTCTTATCCAAGACTATGTTTGACTAAAGAAATGAGAACATTAAACCTAAAACCTAAGAAATCTCGCCGTCCCATGTTGGAACGAATGAAATGATGTAGCTTTGGCTTCCCATTCTCGTTGTTCGAAGAGCTAGCCATCTTCGAATATTGGAGGCGAGGACGAAGCACCTGGATTAAAAGAGAAGAGACAAACATAAAAGACCAAAATATCCTTTGATTATACGGCCTCTTGACGGAAATATTAACGGTGGACTAAAAGTGGAACACATTTAATAACAGTGGTTGTAAAGTGGCAAAAAAAATTAAAATGGACTGAAATTGGAAACGCCCCTATAACAGTAGGACCAAAAATGGAATTCACTCTTTCCAAAATTACTGTTCGCATAACATTGTATTTCTACTGATTTAGCTAGGCCGGAATTAGTACATTAAGCGTAATGATGGATATATTGTAAATGGATCCAAACCGACCCGGAAAGGCGAAGCACGGAGGGTCCAAGCGGACTCGGGGCCCCGAGATTGAGCCCGTACGTGTTCGACCTGCCTCGGCATGAGGCCTCGGCCATGTTGCCCGGTCATCGGACCGGGCGCGGTTAGAGCGGGAACCGCTCCACCGATTTAGCAAGACAGCAGGGTTCGTAGTGTATAAATAGCCCCCCCCCCCCCCCCCCCCCCTCCCTTTGTCTCGTTAAGATAGGTCCTATATATCCTATTGTCCTACCTAGCAATTGTAATAGCATTATTCTACCGTTGTAATAGCTTGATAGCGTCATTATCAATATAACTCTTGGTCTTTGTGATCCAACGACATCGTTTTACTTATTTACTTATCCTTTTACATTATCCATTCTTTATCGGGTTTATTGATTCGAACTACAACGTATCATGGATTAAAGGGACAAATTAAATTGTGATTCTTTGCTTATTGATATAAAAGCAAAAAAGTAAGAAAAGCTAGCATAGCTTTAAAATTGCTTTGTTAGCTTGTAAAGTACGTGATAGCAAGCCTGGCCTACCTGCTATATATAAATCGATTATTTTGAAGCGCTATAAAATAGAATGGTCTACATAAATTTTCACCAGAGTTTATAAGACCAGGCCACATATATAGAATAAATTTGCAGAAATTAATATTAAATTAAATTAAATGGATGCAGCTCCTTCCCACCAAGTAGCACTTCCTCAACAACTGGCAGCAGGTAGAGTACGTCAACAACTGGCAGCAGGTAGAGTACGTACTCTATCTATATATATATATATGCGCGTGTGTGGGGGGGGGGGGGGGTTTGATTTAATTAATAATTAAATACTCATGTCCTATTTTAATTATCATATTTATTATTCATTAGTTAAATGAACTCTAACTTTCTTCTATGTTGATTTTCTTGAGTAACTTTTATTTATTTTTAAATTTGATTTTTTTGTATTTAATTTAATAGTACTTTTTAATGTAGTTTATAAATATATAAATTTTATATACTAATAATAAGATGTGTTTGGAAACTCAAAAAATTATTTCTGGAAATCATATTATGGGTTCCCCCTATTTGGTAAGAGTAAAAAATGTGATTCAAAGGAAAATACTTACATTTTCTCAAAAAATGACTTCCCCTCTTTTTCGGGAGAAGTCATTACCATTATCATTATTACCACTACGTACTAACACCACCACCATCACTGCACCACCTCCAACACCACCGCCACCGCTATTACGTGCTACCACCACCACCACCATCATCACACTACCACTACCACCACCGCCACCATACATGATATGATGATGATATGATGTTACGTTGCAGTGGATTTCAGCAAATACCTGCCACTATACAGAGCTATATTGGCAGTAAATTGGGAGGAAGCTCTAATATTCTTCAACCAACACCCCTCAGCAATTCAATCTCCACTTACCAACCACTTAGAGACTGCATTGCACGTTGCTGCTAGAGCTGGCAATAATACCTCCTTTATGGAAAATCTTGTAGCATTTTTGTTGGAGGATAATGAACAAGTAGAAGCGCTTAGCCCCAGAGACGCCTCTGGGCATACCCCACTTCACTACGCTGCCTCGCATGGAAACATTGAGGTGGCTCATATCCTTGTTCGCAGGAATTCTAATCTCCTCTATCTTCACAACAACGATGGCTTTTTCCCCATCCATTATGCGGCTATGAATTATCGCAAAAGCAAGGACGCCTTTCTGTATTTCCTTCGTCTCACTAGGGATGATGAATACGGCCACCCTAATCCATATGCAGTCCCAACTGGTGTCCAGATTCTTGTTAACTTAATCGGAAATAAATTATATGGTACGTATACCCGGTCCAACTATATCTTATCCATCTTTTTTTTTTTGGAAGAGACTAATCTTAATTAGCCTCTTTGCTTATATTATATATATATATATATATAGATTTGGCACTGCAGTTGGTTGTGAGGTACCCTGATTTGGGCCGTCATAAGATGTTAATTCGCAGTTCAGCTTTGGATGCCTTAGTTCTTTATGACTGTCCCATTATTAACAAAGGTAGTCTAAATTTTTGACAAAGTTTCATATACTATTGTGAGTAACCACGGCTGGAAATTATGGAATTTCTGACCACCTCAAAGTGATCTTAAATCAAGTTGAAAGCCTTGTTCCGACCACTTTTGGTATCCGGAAAAACCTTTGTTGCTATTTTCGACCACTTTTTGCTTTCAACTTGATTTAATATCACTTTCAGGTGGTCGGAAATTCCATAATTTCCAGCAGTGAACTTTCCATTATTTATATCGTCCATCATTATATATTTATATATATATATATATATATATATATATATATATATATATATATATATATATATTTATATATATATATATATATATATATATATATATATATATATATATATATATATATATGTATGTATGTATATATACTTATATATATATTTATAAGTATGTATATATATATATATATATATATATATATATATATATATATATATATATATATATATATATGTATGTATGTATGTATATATACTTATTCTTCAATCTCATTTCGATCTTTAACTTACTAGCTAGTAAAAATTATTATTACATGCAGGTGTTTTTAAGGCCGAGTCAACAACATCTACACCAATTTTCTACCTCATCACCTCACTACTACCATGTATGTATGTATGGATGTGTGTACAATGGCGGACCTACAATGGGGGCAGTGGGGGCAGCTGCCCCCACTGCCCCCTCCCTAATCTAAGGCCCTTATACAATATAAATATAAAATTTACTAATTGTTTAAGTAGCCTAGTTGGTAGAAACTTTAGATTGTTTAGGGGTGGCCATGGGATCAATTCCCACAAGTAGTGTATTTTTAGTTTGTTTGTTGGTTTTTTTTTTTTACTCCAAATTTTATTTTATCCATTCCAATCCTATAGTATTTTTAGTTTCTTTTCTTTATTTTAACTCTTCCAATCCTTTAATAAATTAAATATTTTTTTAAGTCTACTTTTTTGTGAATCATTTAGTTAATGTAGTCCGCAGGTTTATATTATACTTCATTGTATTCGAATTAATTTAAAAAAATTAAAAGTTGATATAACTAAAAGAAAATTAAAATTAAAGTATTTAGGAATATACTATCTTTTCTATTCAAACTATGTTATCTAATCAATTATCAATTATGTTTCATATATTTTATAGCATTTCAAAGTGTTTTAAAATTTAACCCTACCCAAGTAGAGTTTTGGCTCCGCCCTTAACTATCTTGTCGTCTATCATAAATATTATTGTATTATAATTTATAATGTATTTGAACCATATTATAGATGTTTGATATTTTTTCATTGACAATTCTAAAGTCGTAGCGAATTCTTCAGACAAAATTGTTGAAGATGCAATTTTTTCTTAGAAGTGAGATCTAGAGTTAAGTATGCCCCCACTCACATTATTTTCTGAGTCCGCCACTGTGTGTGTATGCATAACTACCTAACATGACCACATCAGATCATAATATATAGTAATAAAAATAATAGATTTTGTTTATTACTGTTTTAATTCGATATATCTATCTTCTATCAGGGCTTGTAAAGAAGAGCATAGTAAATAAAATGGTGTTGCACCACCAAGCTATGAAGCTTCTTAAATTCTTGTGCGATCAACTCAAAACCCTAAATGAAACACAAGTGGACTGGCTGACAAGATGTGCATTCCTTGAAGCAACGAGTTTAGACATTCATCAAGTCATCATAAATATTGCGGAAGCATATCCTTTGTTGGTTTATTTCTTAAACCCCATGCGGCAGAATATACTTCACGTTGCAGTAAAGAATCGTAGCGAAAATGTTTTTAACCTTGTTTGTGGAACCAGCATGCTTAGGATTAATTTATCTAATGTTTTGGACATAAATCGTAATAGTGTTTTGCATTTGGCTGGGAAATTGGCACCTCCGCACAAACTAAATCTTGTTTCTGGGGCAGCTCTTCAAATGCAACGAGAACTGCAATGGTTTAAGGTATAGTATGTCACAATCTCTTCAGGTGCGGGTGGTGCTTCCCGTGCGATTGTGCGGGTGGACTCACATTAAGCATTACACTGGCGCACTTAGCTTTAAGTACACAACACACACATTAAACACTCAAACAATATATATATATATATATATATATATATATATATATATATATATATATATATATATATATATATGATTCATTTCATCTGATCCGCAGGAAGTGCAAAAAATTGCACCATCACATCACATGTCATCTCCAAATATAGTTGGCAAAACTCCGAGTATTGTCTTTACGGAGGAGCATAAGGAGTTGAAAGAGGCAGGGGAGAAATGGATGAAAGACACAGCAAATTCATGCACAATTGCAGCAGCCCTCATTGTTACTGTAGTCTTTGCAGCAGCCATTAGTTCCTGGTGGCAACAATGGTGAAAATGGCCTCCCAATCTTCTCCAACAACACTGCCTTCATAGTATTCGCCATCTCAAATGCTGCCTCTCTCTTTACATCCACCACTTCCTTGCTCGTCTTCTTGTCCATCCTAACTTCGCGCTATGCAGAAGAAGACTTCCTATATGCTCTTCCCAAGAGATTAATCATAGGCCTCTTCACCTTGTTTTTGTCCATAATATTTATGATGATTGCCTTCTCCGCCACAGTGTATCTCGTATTTGGGCAAAACAGAAGGGAAGTTCTTATTATGGTGGCTTCATTTGCATGTTTGCCGGTCACTTCATTTGTGCTTCTTCAATTCCCTCTGCTTGTAGCTTTGGTGTCATCTACGTACGGACGGGGCATTTTCGATCAGCGTGGCTTTCCCCAACTCCTAGTTTGACTTAATTGCATGCCACTTAATCTAGACTTATTTGTAATATAATGCTTCATTTCAATATTTCATTCTGTAATCCATTTGTTGCTTCATTTCAATAGTCCATTCAATATAACTGCTACTCGATGTTGTGCACGTTATGCTTGGGTGAAATCCATAGCTATATTTCCTGTACTATTTGTACTGTAAAAGTTTACTATGTATAATCTGTTTGAATAAAATAATTGTGGTGTAATGCTTTTCAAATATGTAATTTCAACAATTCTAAGGTATTGAGTTTTGAGTTTTGTTCTGTACCAAGTCTAAGAGATACGGGTGTATATTAGGAAAATACTTGGTGTACTCCCATTTTAAACTCCCAACTTGTACTTCCTCTCACATGCTTTTGATGTAGACATTTTTCTGTGGACCCACATGATAAAAATAACCAATCCTGGATTGCCACCTCAGGGAGTATAAATGAGGGAGTAGAAAAGGATTGATGATTAAAAAATCAACCCAAAATATTATACAGAGTTCTACTCTCTATATATAGTAGAACTCTGTATATTAAAGTGGATATTTGTAATAGGTAAAGGGTTGATGATTAAAAAATCAACCCAAAATATAGTTAAGACTTTATGTAACAATAATATTACAATAAATGGATAGTCTTATATGAGATCATCTAACGTGAAATTTTAGCCAATGGTTTGGAAACATGCACTTCATTCTTATATATATTTAGTACCCTCCCCCCCTATTTGATTAGTAAACATGAAAGATTGAATTGAAGAATCTTAAGTATTTCAAAATGAAAAGTGTGTGAATTTTTTTTAAAAGAATTGGGGTGGCCGGGGAATAAGCCCCTAACAATTCTCGCATGTATGGGAAAGTGAATAAAACTGAACCTATATCTTTAAATACGAGAATTATGTACTACCTACTTGAATGACTGGATGAATCCTTTCAAAACCTATATTATATTATAATTGTTTGTACTGTTTAGCTGGTTGATATTAAAGCAAGGACTTGAAAGCTTTTAATCTGATGCTCAACATATATTATATATAATAACAAACAAGCCACTTGTTTGTTGTTTCCCATAAATTAAAGTGCATGCTAGCTAAGCTGCAGTCCTACCTTTGACCGAGCTCGCGTGAGATATGCATATAATAACATTATATTATTCTGATTCTTTGCCTATTGATTTTGAAGCAAATTAAAGCAAGAAAGTAATTAAGCAAATCTAATTAATAAGCTCAGCTCTACTTTGAATTTGAATTGGCACGTTAGTACTGGTCTAAGCTAGCCCAAAATACTAACCTTTTGTATCTTCTTTCATAAATACATATCTTTATCACGTACTTCAAATCATCATTGTTCGATAATAATATCATTCTCATAATTATTATTCTCATAACATTGTATTCTACTGATTTAGCTAGGTCGGAATTAGTACATTAAGTCACTACTGAAAATTATGAAATTTTCGACCACCTGAAAGTAATCTTAAATCAAGTTGATACCAAAAAGTGGTCGGAAATAGCAATAAAGGTTTTTCCGGATACTAAAAGTGGTCGAAACAAGGCTTTCGACTTGATTTAAGATTACTTTTAGGTGGTCGGAAATTCCATAATTTCCAGTAGTGAGCGTATCATTGATTAAAGGGACAAATTAAATAATTATGATTCTTTGCTTATTGATATAAAAGCAAAAAAGTAAGAAAAGCTAAGCGTGATTAGCATAACAATTAAAGAAGGTGGCTGTTAGGTTGTAAAGTACGTGATATAAATCCATTATTTTGAACTTTGAAGCGCTATAAAATAGAACGGTCTGCATAAATTTTAATCGCTAGATAGAGTTAGTTTATAAGAGCAGATACAATAAATTTGCAGAAATTAATATTAAATGGCTGCAGCTTCTTCTCCAGCAGCACTCCCTCAACAGCCGGCAGGTAGAGACATAGAGTTCGTACTATATATATGTCCTGTTTTATCTATTATTTATTGGTTAAATCAACTCTAGCTTTCTTCTATGTTGATTTTCTTGAGTAATTTTTATTTAGTTTTACATTTGATTTATTTGTATTTAATTTAATAATACTTTTTAATGTAGTTTATAAATATATAAATTTTATATATTAATACTAACGTCAAGGTGTGTTTGGAAACTCGAAAAATTATTTCTGGAAAGAGTTAATACCATCTGAGGTCCTCCGAGTATAGTGGTTTTGCCACGTTTAGTCCTAAACTTTCAAATTGACCATCTGTGGTCCTTCGACTTTTAAATTTAACCATTTGTGGTCTTCGTTAACCACGCATGGTCCTTCAACTATTAAATTTTAACCAACCATGGTCCTTTCAAGAGGACCGTGGCTGGTTATATTTTGAAACTTGAAGGACCATGGGTGGTGAACTTGGACCACGAATGGTTAAATTTGAAAGTCGAAGGACCACAAATGGTCAATTTGAAAGCTTAGGACTAAACATGGCAAAACCACTATACTCGGAGGACCTTAGATGATATTAACTCTTCTGGAAATCATTTTTTGGGTTTTCCGTGTTTGGTAATTAAAAGTAAAAAATGTGAGTCAAAAGGAAAATATTCATATTTTCTTGGAAAATGACTTCCTCTTTTTGTGCGGGGAGTCATTTTTCAATTTTCACTCCAACACCACACCATTACCATTACCACCACCACCACCACCTCCAACACCATCGCCACCACCACCACCGCACTACCACTACTACCACCACCATCATACGGCCACCACCACTACCACCATTTATATTATTATCATCATTATTATTATTATTATTATTATTATTATTATTATTATTATTATTATTATAAACAAAACAATCAAACTGTTTATTTATATAATTCCGACTCATTTTTCAAAAAATGAATAAAAACAAATGCAACCAAATTAAACATTAAAAATGAAAATGTTTTCTGACTCATTTTTCAGAAATTGTTTTCTTAATTTCCAAATGCACCTTAAACTTAATATCTCTGTTGCAAAAATCGTGCCTCAGCGCTAGGCGGCACCTAGATCGCCCGTCCGCCTGAAACCTTTCAAGTTTCAAGCCGCTTTTTTTAAGGGGTTATTCTCCAAAATGACGTTGTTTGGGTGAATAATCCCTAAAAATAATAATAAAAGCACGAATTCAATTCAGTCACACCCTTCTGCAGTGTGCACTTCGGTCGAATCGTCTTCTTCCTCTGCCATGCCGGTGCCCGCCACCCCACATAGCCACGCCTCGCCGGTCACCTCTGCCAGTCGCCACCTCCTCCAATCACCGCCTCGTCAGTCGCCTCCGCGAGGTATGCTATTTACTTATTTATTTTATTTGTTAAATACTTTTTTTTTTTTTCAGTTTAGGTTTTGACCATTTTGCTTTAATTTTTTTATATACTAATACTAAGGTCAAAGTGTGTTTGGAAACTCGAAAAATTATTTATGGAAATCATTTTTCGTGTTTCCCAGTGTTTGGTAAGAGGAAAAAATGTGAATCAAAAGGAAAATACTCACATTTTCTCGGGAAATTACTTTCCCTATTTTTTCGAGAGAAGTCATTTTTCAATTTTCACTCCAACACCACACCATTACCATTTCCAGCACCACCACCTCCAACACCACCACCACACTACCACTACCACCACCACTACCACCATTTATATTATTATTATTATTATTATTATTATTATTATTATTATTATTATTATTATTATATTCTAAACAAAACAATTAAAATGTTTAATTATACCATTCTTGCTTATTGTTGGAAAAGTGAATTGATCATTGAAAATAAAAATGTTTTTCGAAAAATGACTTATTTTTTCCTGATTTCTAAACACACCCTAAATTTAATATTATGAAAAAATTGAATTAAGAATTACATCAGTCAAGTCTAATTAATTGAACCAACATATAAAATGGGACCAACCGACCAAGGGATTATTCCCCAGCCCAAATATGATATGATGATGACGACGATGAACATTGAAGATGATGTATGTTGCAGTTGATTACAGCAAATACCGGCCACTATACAGAGCTATATTGGCAGCAAATTGGGATGAAGCTCAAATATTCTTCAACCTAGACCCCGCAGCAATTCAATCTCCACTTAACGGCTACTTAGACACTGCATTGCATGTTGGTGCTAAAGCAGGCAATGCCTCCTTTATGGAAAATCTTGTAGCATTATTGTTGGAAGATGAAGAAGTAGAAGCGATTGGCCCCAGAGACAACGATGGGAACACCCCACTTCACCTCGCTGCTATGAATGGAAACATTGAGGTGGCTCATATCCTTGTTCGCAGGAATTCTAATCTCCTCTATCTTCACAACAACTATGGTGTTTTCCCCATCCAATCTGCAGCTATGAATAATCGCAAAAGCAAGGACGCCTTTCTGTATTTCCTTCGTCTCACTAGGGATGATGAATACGGCCACCCTAATCCATATGCAGGCCCAACTGGTGTCAAGATTCTTGTTAACTTAATCGAATATAAATTCTATGGTACGTATAGTATATTAGCCTCTTTTCTTAGCTAGGATAGCTTATTATAATTTATTTGAAATTTATATGCATGTATATATATACAGATTTGGCTCTGGAGTTGGTTGTAAGGTACCCTAATTTGGCCCATCATCAGAGCTTAGCTAGCAATGTATCAGCTTTGGATGCCATAGTTCTTAATGATTGTTCCATTGTTAACAAGCACAGTCTAAACTTTTGGCAAAGTTTCATATACTACTGTGAGTAACTTTCCGTTATTTCTATTGTCCATCTTTATATATATATATATATATATATATATACAGGGCCGGATTTTAGGCTGTGCAAGCTGGGCTACCGCACAGGGCCCCCAGTTTTAGAGGGGCCCCAAATTTTAGAGGTCCAATATTTAATATTTACTGAGCTAGTTTAGATATAAAAATTAAAAGTTTTCAATTAAACTTAAAAGGTTCTATGAAGAGATGATAGCAATGTGTATTTATTGTATTTTTACTGGGAGGTTAAAGGTTCGAAACTTGCATATTAAAAATTATGATTTTGGAGGGCCTCAGTTATTTACCAGAACAGGGCCCCAAAAACCTAAAATCCGGCCCTGTATATATATATATATATATATATATATATGTACTTATTCTTCAATCTTGTGCTTGCCAGCCAATTAATTTAATTCGATCTTTAACTTACTAGTAAACATTATTATTGCATGCAGGTGTTTCTAAGGCCGAGTCAACAACATCTACACCAATTTTTCACCTCATCACCTCACTACTACCATGTATGTATGTATGGATGTGTGTGTATACATAACTACCTGACATGACCACATTAGATCAGAATATATAGTTGGAAGATATATAATAATAATAAAAATAATAAATTTCTTTTATTATTGTTTTAATTTGATATATCTATCAGGGCTGGTAGGGAAGAGCATAGTAAACAAAATGGTGTTGCACCACCAAGCTGTGAAGCTTCTTAAATGCTTGTGCGATCAACTCAAAACCCTAAATGATACACAAGTGATCTCACTAACAGAAGAAGCACTCTTTGATGCAACGAGTTTAGACATTTGGCAAGTCATCCTAAATATTGCAGAAGCATATCCTATGTCGGTTTATTTCGAGAACTCCAAGGGGCAGAATATACTTCACCATGCAGTAATGAACCGTAGCAAAAATGTTTTTAACCTTGTTTGTGGAACCAATGTGCTTAGGAGTAATTTACCTAATTTTTCGGACATAAATGGTGATAGTGTTTTGCATTTGGCTGGGAAATTGGCACCTCCACACAAACTAAATCTTGTTTCTGGTGCAGCTCTTCAAATGCAACGAGAGCTTCAATGGTTTAAGGTATGGTATATATGTCACAATCCATCTCTTATATGTTTTCTCTCATTTTATTGTTTCATTTTTATTTTTATTTTTAATTTTGTAATGATGATGTAAACCCCATGCTAGTACGTCTTGACAGTTCTATTGAGAGTCAAATTTGTTATCTTGTAATCATCAAATAAGCAATAGTACGCAGTCTTATTTGGTTGGGATTGGGGTTGTTTGACCAACATACTTCAATTTTTTTTTATAGACTAACACACACACATATATATGATTCGTTTCATCTGATATGTAGGAAGTGAAAAAAATCACATCATTTTATTACTTGTCACATCGGAATAATGATGACAAAACTCCGAGTATGGTCTTTACGGAGGAGCACAAGGAGTTAAAAGAGGCAGGGGAGAAATGGATGAAAGACACAGCAAATTCATGCACAATTACAGCAGCCCTCATTGTTACTGTAGTCTTTGCAGCAGCCATTACAGTTCCTGGTGGCAATGGTGGAAATGGCCTCCCATTCTTCTCCAACAAAAATGCTTTCACAGTATTTGCCATCTCAAATGCTGCATCTCTCTTCACATCCGCCACTTCCTTGCTCGTCTTCTTGTCCATCCTAACTTCGCGCTATGCAGAACAAGACTTCCTATATGCTCTTCCCAAGAGATTAATCATAGGCCTCTTGACCTTGTTTTTGTCCGTAATATTTATGATGATTGCCTTCTCCGCCACGGTGTATCTCGTATTTGGGAATAATAGAACGGAAGTTCTTATTATGGTGGCTGGATTTGCATGTTTGCCGGTCACTTCATTTGTGCTTCTTCAATTCCCTCTGCTGGTAGATTTGGTGTCATCTACGTACGGACGGGGCATTTTCTATCAGCGTGGCTTTCCCCAGCTCCCATATTGACTCGCATGCCACTCATAATTAATTAGTTGATGATAGGCAAACTCTAGACTTTGTAATGCTTTCATCATTTTGCAAATTATTGACCAATATTTTTGTTGGACGGAAATAGCGAGATTTCCAACACTAATTAATAATTACCTTATTTTCCCATTAATATGTTTTAATAAAATATGCTTTTTAAATTTTAACTATCACAGGCCACATGAAGTAATTCTTGGTGGTGTTGTATTGTGATCTTATTGAAAATTTATAGAATAAATGTAATTAAGTTTAATTTACATGGGAGAAAGGAAAGGGTACGGCAAGATGGGTAGATGAGAAATTGGATAAGGTGCTGGCAACGAATGTGTGGAGCGATGTAGTTCCAGGAGCTAATGTGGCAAATTTGTTAATGAGACAATCAGACCACTCCGCCATCTTCCTAGGTATTCATGATCCAATAGGGAGTGGGAGGACATACAGACGACAATTCAGATTTGAAATGACATGGTTGTATGATGAGGGGTGCAGGCATGTGGTAGAGGAGTCGTGGAATGAAAAGAGGGGTAATGGGTTACAGGACTGTATTGCACATTGTGGTAATCGTTTGGCTAAGTGGGGGGGAGACAGGTATCATAAATTTGGTGAGCGAATTAAGGCTCTCCGGAGGGAGCAATTGCAACTCAGGGGACGAATGGATATAAACTCATTAACTGAATTCCAGCGCCTGGAGGTGGAATTGAGTAATATGGAGGCCCAGGAGGATGCGTATTGGAAACAACGAGCAAAACAACATTGGCTCAAGGATGCGGGTGCCAATACTAAATTCTATCACAGGTATGCCTCTCACCGAAAAAAGAAAAATTCATTATCTCGTATTATGAATAATTCAGGGGAATGGGTTGAGGGGAATGATATGAAGAATGTGGTTATGGATTATTTTATCAATGTGTTTAGCTCTAGTAATCCTGTGTCTGGCCATGATCTGTTTGAGAGGGTAATACCAAAGGTCTCGTATGAGCAAAATGAGGCGCTACTTCGGCCGTTTACGGTTGATGAGGTTAGGGCTGCATTATTTTCAATGTTCCCGGATAAAGCACCAGGCCCAGATGGAATGAACCCAGGTTTCTATCAGCACTTTTGGGATATTGTGGGAGGAGACATGGCTAATTATATTGTGGATTGCTTGAATATGCGTACTATCCCCCCTGCGTTCAATGAAACGAATGTTGTGTTAATTCCCAAAAAGAATGCCCCAGAGTTAGTATCTGATCTACGGCCAATAGCCCTAAGTAATGTTGTATACAGGGTGATGGCCAAGATGATTACGCAGAGAATGAAACCCCTGATGGAAGGTATTATTTCGGACACACAGAGTGCTTTTATTCCTAATCGGCTAATTACTGATAATATTTTAGTAGCAGCTGAGGTGGGACATTTTTTGAATAGAAAACAGTGTGGTATTAGTGGATGGGGAGCTCTTAAACTGGATATGGCTAAGGCGTATGATCGTATGGAATGACCATTTTTGAAAGGGATGCTTAAAGCTTTAGGCTTTGATGAGAAGTGGGTGGATTTGATCATGTTGTGTGTTACCACTGTCTCCTACAGATTTCTGGTCAATGGGTCTCCTACAGAGGCAATATTGCCCACCCGTGGTCTCAGACAGGGAGATCCCTTATCCCCATATCTATTTATTATTTGTGCAGAAGGCCTTTCTCTATTGTTACAGCAGGCGCAGGTTAATGGATTAATTCATGGCTGTAGGGTGGCACGAGCTGCGCCCCCTGTCTCCCATTTGTTTTTTGCTGATGATAGTTTCCTATTTTTTAAGGCAAATGTACAGGAGGCGACTGAGATTAAGAATATTTTGACTATTTATGAGAACTTATCTGGGCAAATGGTCAATTATCAGAAATCTAGTATTTGTTATAGTAAGAATACTAGTGAAGCTGACAGGGATATGGTGGCACTAACCCTTGGAGTAGTCCAGGCGCCAAATTTTGGGAAGTATTTGGGGTTGCCAGCCTTTGTTGGAAGAAATAAGAAAATAGCCTTTGCCTATATTGAAGACAAAATCAAGCAGAGAATTGGCTCATGGAATAAGAAGCTCCTAACGCAAGCTGGGAAAGAAATATTGTTGAAAAGTGTAGCTCAGGCAATGCCTACTTTCTCAATGAGTGTATTTTTGTTGCCAGTATCTGTTTGCTCTGCTATTGAGCGCACAATGAACCGGTATTGGTGGGGTTCTGGGACGGACCGTGGTATTCATTGGAAATCCTGGGATAAGCTATGTATCCCAAAGAAATATGGAGGTTTGGGGTTTAAAGATTTAAGAGCATTTAATTTGGCTATGCTAGGAAAACAAGCATGGAAATTTCTTACCAATCCTGACTCCTTGGTGGCCCGCATTTATAAAGCCAGATATTATCATGACCGCCCGTTTAACGAAGCATGCCTAGGGAATAATCCTAGCTATTGTTGGAGGAGTATTATAGCAGCCAAAGATTTGATAGTTGGTGGGGTGAGGCGCCGTATTGGAAATGGTAACTCGACTCAAATATGGAAGGATCCTTGGTTACAGGATGAATTGGATCCTATGATCCAAACGGAAATGCCGCCACAATTAATGGATGCAAAGGTATCCGGTTTAATAGATCAGACGACTGGTACATGGGACCCATATATTTTAGCTGATATTTTTGACCCAAGTGATGTGCCAAAAATATTAAAAATACCTATCTCCCCGGAATATGATGATACGTGGTATTGGTATGATGACCCAAATGGATGCTACTCGGTCAAGAATGGGTACAGGCACGTGGTAGGCATTTATGAAAGCAGCCCGGGGTTTGATAAATGGGACACTATATGGAAGCTACAAATACCACCTAAGTGGAGGATGTTTTTGTGGAGAGCTATAAGTAATATCATCCCTACAACAAACAACTTGCTTATAAAGAGAGTGGATGTTGATCCGATATGTGCCATGTGTAGATTAATCAATGAAGATGTTATGCACTCATTAGTATTGTGTGATTATGCAAAGTCCATTTGGAGCCAATCTGGCCTTCCATTACCCCATGTTACCACAAATATTTTTCATGAATGGTTTAGGACAATTTTGAATGTTCTAGACTCTAATGAAATGTTGTTTGCAGCTGGAATTCTATACAATATCTGGAGAGTCTGAAATGGAGCGGTATGGGATGCATGCCTACAGTTACCAAAGAGAGTTGTGTTAGCAAAACACATGGCAAGCAATACACACCAAACAGCCACCACGCCACTCTACAGCGCTGCTCGGGTCCAGTACTGCCACACGCCACTCTACAGAGCTGCCCGAGTCCATTACTGCCACACGCCACGGTACGCCAGTTCCAGCTACGTCAACATTGCAGCCGCCTCGCTCGTCCCAGGACTGCCCCGCATATCCGAAGCAATGTTTCATAGATGCAGGATACAATGCCGATTTGATGATAGCCACAGCCGGCGTCCTATTACTAGACCATATTGGAGCTTATGTATCGGCCTACTGTGTGCCACCACAAACTTGTTTCTCACCTCTTATGGCCGAGGCCCTAGCATGTAAGGAGGCATTCTCATGGCTCAAACAGCGTGGTGAACAATCGGTTCAAATCTACACGGATTGCTAGACGTTGCGAACCTATCTCGAGTCTTCTATCCAACCTCGATCTTATCTCGGCTATGTCCTTGATGAGTGCAGACGATTAATTGCTACTTTTAATTTCCTTTCAGTTATATTTATTCCTAGATCGCAGAATGCAATGGCTCATGATTTAGCATCAGATGCCTTTAATTATTCTATAGCTATGTACTGGGATGGAATCCCACCAAACTCTATTTTGATTCATATATAAATGCAACCACATTGGTTTTTCAAAAAGTTTAATTTACATATTATTGCTTATTGTGTATACATATAATTGTTTGACATTGTGAAGTTGAGGATAATAATCTACTCGATCACTAGACCATGCTTTTTGAAGTGTATATATATTTATCTAACCATGTGTGCATTTTAACTCAATCGTTTCATCTTGTTTGTGATGCTAGAGTGAACAAATTGTGGTTGAAAATTCACCGAAGTGAATGTCCAATCTTAAATTTTAGTATGGGCAAGTAGATAGCCAACCAATTTGACTGGAGATTGTGGTGCCATTACATGCATCAAGGATTTGTGGGGTGACGATGGACTAGAGTTCAAACCAGAGAGGTTTAAAGATGGAGTTTCAAACACATCCAAAACCATGGGTGTCTATTATCCATTCCGCAGGCGCCCGAGAATATGCATTGGGCAAAACTAAGCATCGGTTGAAGCCAAGGTGACCTTGGCCAATAGTTATGTTGTGCAACCGTCATGGTGCACACATTTGCAAAACGATCTCGTTTTGCCTAAAAACGTGCATCTCATTAAAAAAAAAATCAGTTTCGATTCCCCTAAATAGCATTATTGTGGATATATAATTATGAATTTTTGGATATATAGTTATGAATTTGTGGATATATAGTTATGAATTTATTGATATTTACCCTCCCACCCCTATTCCATGACGGAGCTACCTTAGGGGGTAGGGTGCCCTGGCCCCCTCAACCCCCACCCCATCCCACCCCTACCCTCACCCTATACTTTTTTTAGTAAATAATAAATATGCATGTATATATTGATATAGTAGGGATAGAATACACTTTTCAAATATGTAATTTCAACAATTCAAAGGTATTGAAGTTTTGAGTTTTGTTGTGTACCAAGTTCAAGAGATACCGGTGTATATTAAAGTAGATATTTGTAATAGGTAAGGGTTGATGATTAAAAAATCAACCCAAAATATAGTTAAGACTTTATGTAACACTAATATTACAATAAATGGATAGTCTTATATGAGATCATCTAACGTGAAATTTTAGCCAATGGCTTGGAAACACGCACTTCATTCTTTATATATTTTTAGTACCTTCCCACCCCTATTTGATTAGTAAACACGGAAGATTGAATTGAAGAAGCTTTAATCGTGATGAAATAAAACTACAATTTACATAAAATTAAATTCAATATGTCATACAAATAGAAATAATTAGACAGAACGGGTGCCATTTCTTTTAATTAAAAAAAAAATGGCACCGTTTTAGACCATGGCCCACAGTAAAAATTGCCTAATAAGGCTTAGTTCAGGGCAATTTATATTGTGCACTAGGGCGCGTATTGCATTGTGCGCAGGGCCGGATTTTAGGTTTTTGGGGCCCTGTTCTGGTAAATAACTGAGGCCCTCCAAAATCATAATTTTTAATATGCAAGTTTCGAACCTTTAACCTCCCAGTAAAAATACAATAAATACACATTGCTATCATCTCTTCATAGAACCTTTTAAGTTTAATTGAAAACTTTTAATTTTTATATCTAAACTAGCTCAGTAAATATTAAATATTGGACCTCTAAAATTTGGGGCCCCTCTAAAACTGGGGGCCCTGTGCGGTAGCCCAGCTTGCACAGCCTAAAATCCGGCCCTGATTGTGCGCCCAGGTGCAAAATGACGTCGTTTTGGATTTTTTGTTTTTTGTTTTTTGTTTTTTTTTTTTTTTTGTTTTTTTGTTTTTTTGTTTTTTTGTTTTTGTTTTTTTTTTGGAAATTCTGCTTTCCTGTGTCGACAGTTAATTTTCTTAAAAAAAATCTCATGTTTCGAAAATGTACATAATTGTATAGTAGAATGTACATAATTGTATAACAAAATACACATACTCTTTTTTGAAAACATAATACACATAATCTAACATAATGCATAATACACATAAACTCTTAACATAATACACATAAATTTCCTGTTTCGGATGTACATAATTGTATAAAAAAGTACATAATTCTATAAAAAATGTACATAATTGTATAAAAAAAATGTACATAATTGTATAACATAATGTACATAATTGTGTCAATTCTCTAGACAACTTAACAAAACGACATCATTTTGGGAGGCGTATGGCGCACAGTGCTATGTGTACCGTAGGGCAGGGTATAACGATTGTTAGTTCAGTTAGTTGGCCTAAGGAGTCCAGTCAAAACTAATGTTCAGCTCAGCCGTCAACATTGCGAGTTGGATTGCTAAACTCAACTTCAAAACCAGCCATCTTAAATGCATTAATAAGGAATAGCCTAAAATGAAAATTATTTAGGAACCCACCATGCAAACCACAGTAAAATTAATTTGCCTAATAAGGCTTAGTTAGCTTAAGGAGTACAATCAAAACTAATGTTCAGCTCAGCCGTCAACATTGCAAGTGGGATTGCTAAACAAAACTTCAAAACCAGCCATCTTAAATGCATTAATAAGGAGTAGCCTAAAATGAATATTATTTAGGAACCCACCATGCACACGTACCATAGATCATATATACAATTATCACAAGGCATGCATACTTGGAGCTAGCTAACCATATATGATTAGGGATGGAAATAGGCCGAGTTGAGCTGAGTTTTAAAAAATTGGACATGGACTTGTTATGTATTAATAATATTAGTATTATGTGGTTGTAATTAGTATTTAACTACTAGCCTGATGTATAAAAAAAATAAGGGAGAAAAAAACTAAAAATAAAAAGTCATTGTCTATGCATTAAATATGAAATTTTAATATATTTATGTGTGTGTTATATTTTTATATATTTATTTAATTAAATTTTAATTACTTATTTATTTTTATCTCAATTTCTATTATTACCATTTTCATTCCAATTACATACAATGTTTGAACCAAACACACCCTTATAACCTTTTTTTTTTTTTGAATGTCACTGACTCTATTACAATGTAGTATCTGTTCATATACTTTCTCAAAGTACTGAAACACAAAGAACCAACCTTCCAAATAGAAGTCCAACTCGGGTATCATTAGACCACATAGTCTTGGTATAACCTAATGGTATTAATTTAGTCAATTGTCCACCTATCTATCTTATACTCCAAATCTCCAATGATCGAGTTGATCTATAAATTAGGTTGTTGGCGCGCTCTTATCTTATCCAAAAATTTTAAAACCCTAAAAATCAAACATAATATATAATTAATGTGCAATTAATTTTAAATAAGTTAATACCAAATTTGGTCTTTACTATTAAGATTTCACCATTTTAATCCTCAATTTCCAAATTTGCTCAATTTCACCCCAAGTATGTAATTGTAAATCAAAATGTTTCTAATTACTTAGTTGAAAATTAAATTGAGTAGAAATCGATGACTAAAGTGGTGAAATCCTAATCCCCGAGAAACCAAATCTGGTTAGCATCCATGATTGCATGCAACTTGCTCCCTTTAAATGCAGCCATGCCCGAGCTCATTCAATTCAATGCAGGAAGAAATATATATAATGGAGATTCTTTACAACTTCACTGCAGTTGTCTTTTCATTTATACTTTAAACATTTCTATACAAATTCCTGGATTGGGTATGGTTGAAACCAAGGAGGATACAAAGGGTGCTTAGGCAGCAAGGTTTTTCCGGCAATTCTTACAAGCCATTGATCGGAGATTTGGTAGAAATCCGATACTGCACCTTACAAGCAAACCGCACCGGACCTTTGGACAATCTTTCCGACGACATTGCCCCTCGCATTCTCCCATTTCTTCATAATGCTATCCAACGCTATGGTTCGTCGCCAATATTCTTAGCTTTTTCAACAACGCCCCGGCTTAATATACTATTGGAAATTATGGAATTTCCGACCATCGGAAAATGATCATAAATCAAGTCAAAAGTCTGGTTCTGACCACTTTTGGTATCCGGAAAAATCTTTGTTACTATTTCCGACCACTTTTTACTTTAGACTTGATATTAGATCACTTTCAGGTGGTCGGAAATTCCATTATTTCCAGCCGTGATATATTATGTTTCCTATTAATTAAAAGTTTCTGAAATTTTTAGGCAAGAGACCTATTCTGTGGTTAGGAACAACACCCGCCGTGATCATCTTAGAGCCCGAATTGATTAAGGAAATGCTCGCAAATTACACCACTTTCCACAGGCCAAATCAGACGGCAACGTTGGAGGTGGCACGAGGATTATTTACCTGTGAAGCAGACAGATGGGCGATGAACAGAAGAATTATCAACCCAGCTTTCAACATGGAGAAGTTGAAGGTTTATCTATACTTCAATCCACCCCATAATTGACTTGCTAAATACTCGTTTGAGTGACGAGAAAACCCGCAGTCATTATTTGTTAGTGTACACCTAGTAAATTTATCTTGTGACATTAGTTGACAAAGAATCATAACGCACTGCTCGAAATTATGAAATTTTCAATCATCTGAAAGTGATCTTAAATCAAGTCGAAAGCAAAAAGTGATCATAAATAGCAACAAAGGTTTTTCCGGACACCAAAAGTGGTCGGAACAAAGCTTTCGATTTGATTTAACATTACTTTTCAGGTGGTCGAAAATTTTATAATTTCCAACAGTGATGAGACCGCATTGGTTAAACCCAATTTTGTAACCCTAACCAGCAAAAAACACCATAAGCTGGTAAATTAGCTTCGATTACTCATAGCTGACGAGCTCAAATCCAGTCAACTTATAATCTTGTGACTATCTAATCAGAGTTGCTCCCTAAATACTTTGTAATATTGAATTTTGTTTTTTTTTTTTTCTGTGATATATATATATATATATATATAGGTTATGGTGCCTGCATTTTGTGAATCCAGCGGTGAGATGTTGGATAAATGGGACAACATCGTAAAACCAGAGGGGTCGGAGGTCAACGTTTGGCCATATCTTAACATCTTAACCAGCGATGCGATTGCTCGGACGGCTTTTGGCAGCAACTTTGAAGAAGGAAGAAACATATTCGACAATGTTGCTAAGCTCACCATGCTTATCCACTGAGCTTGGACCATTTGCCTTCATCCCGCAATATTGGTGGGTTAATTAACTTGTCTTATTTTAAATATAGTAGTGTTAATTCCCCATTGGCTCTATTACATTGTAGTATACCATTAGACCACATAGTCCTGGTGGAGTATATGTTCATAATTTTATTACTATATGTTAATAACTGTACATTCATAACTCCATAACTGTACGTTCATAACTCTATAACTGTACATTCATAACTCCATAACTGTACATTCATAACTCCATAATTGTACATTCATAATTTTCGAAACTCTATGTTCACAATTTTAGAGCTCTATGTTCATAATTTTATCACTATATGTTCATAATGGTAAGTTCATAATGTTAGAGCTCTTTGTTCATAATTCGATCAATAACTGTACATTCATAATTTCATAACTGTAGATTCATAATCTCATAACTGTAGATTCATAACTCCATAACTGTAGATTCATAATCTCATAACTGTAGATTCATAACTGCATAACTGTAGATTCATAACTCTATAACTATACATTCATAACTCCATAATTGTACATTCATAATCTTCGAAGCTCTATATTCACAATTTTAAAGCTCCATGGTCATAATTTTATCACTATATATGTTCATAATTGTAAGTTTATAATATTAGAGCTCTGTGTTCATAATTTCATAATTGCATAACTGTACATTCATAACGGCATAACTGTACGTTCATAATCCAAAAAAAAAAAAAAATAACGCCGTTAACAGCAAAATGCGTGCGATTTTTTTTTTTTTTATTACTAAATGACGCATTTTTTTTTTTTTTTGAAAAACGACGTCGTTTTGGGCTCGTGTCCACAATTCAGGGCATAATATGCCCCTACTTTGTGTATGTGATCATATTTAATTTGAGTTATTTACGTTGTAATTGTTCCTAAACTTTACCATTCTGACCAACTAAGTTGCCCATAGAGGCCGTACTAGGTGGTCATACTAGGTGCAAGCTAGTGTCTAGGTGTTGACCTGTGAACGCCCGTACGTGCACAAAAATATAAATTAAAACGAATCATATGCTATTTAAAATGTTTACTCAACTACATACTATGTAGTGTAATGAAACCTCTATTTTTGAATTGGTTGTAAGGCCATTGATTCTTTGGTAAAAATTATTGAAAAAGTATAAAACAGATACTACCTCGATGTTCTTTGATCAATTGTATTTTTACACATAGGATGCACTACACGATCATTAGAATTTAGATGTACTGGGTAGTTTTACAATTTAATTTTTTTTAATATTAGTTTAGTATTAGTATATAAAAGAAAAGACCAAGGTTCAAATCTCGGCGGCGGCAGATTTCTTGTGCGCATCGACATTTGGCCCTGTCCATTGAACCCATTGAATCACCGTGATTTACGATTTACACCTCCCAAATACTCTGTCGGGCCCTTAGGAAAAACTATGAGTTCGTTTATAACAATAATAACTATTCCTGCTTATATATGTATTGGGATGTGGCTTGGAGGGTTGATTTAGCATTGTGTCATCAAAACGTGACACCATTATATTACAACATAAGAAGTATAGATAAATAAAGTTATCCTAATTATACTGCAGGGTTTTGCCAAGTAGGATGAAAATGAAGATACAACAAAAGAGGAGGGAAGTGAGCGGGTTAGTACGAGAAGTTGTGGTTAAGAGAATGGAGGAGGTGAGAGTAGGCAAGGCTGCAACAGGCACAGATCTACTAGGAATATTGTTAGAATCAAACCTAGAAGAAACCAGCAGAAATGGAAACATGAAGATGGGATTGAGTATCGATGAAGTAATAGAAGAATGCAAATTGTTCTACTTTGGTGGCCAAGAAACCATCACCAACTTGATTGCATGGAGCTTAATTTATTTGGGTAAACACTTGGAGTGGCAACAACTGTTCTACTTTGGTGGCCAAGAAACCATCACCAACTTGATTGCATGGAGCTTAATTTATTTGGGTAAACACTTGGAGTGGCAACAACGACTTAGGGATGAAATCATACAAGTCCTTGGCTTGGCCACCATTCAATCTTTTGACTTTTCCAAGTTGAATCAACTCAAAATTGTAAGTATAGGTACTAAACTAACTTAGATTGCTATAGCTGACTAGTTCAAGTCAAAAAACCCTCATTCGAGATCAACAGCTAGAGTATGGATTGATCCTGTTGGACCCCAGCGGCATAGGCTGGATTATAACACAATACACATAAAATTTTAACTGAATACACATAATGAGGTTTGGTCTGTTCGGATGGAAGGAGTGACGTCAGTGTGACGTCAGCATGAAATGCGCACATTTTGTGCCTGGGCGCAGGTGCACGATATAAATTGATTGGTTCAAACCAAGAAGGCCCGTCAGGGCCAAATTTTGGGTTGTGCCTCAAATTTTAGAAGGCTTAATATTTAATTTTTACCTAGCTAGTTATGATATTAAAACAAAATAAGATTACAATTAATCTTAAAAGATTTCATAGAGAAATAGTAGAAATGTGTTTCTATGATGTTTCATCTTAGAGGTTTAAGGTTCAAACTTTGTCCTTTTGCAGATGAGCATGGTACTACATACTCAATGAGATTCTGAGGCTGTATCCACTTGCTCCAGTACTGCACCGCGAGACTCGCGAGGACACAAAACTAGGAAACATTATGTTGTTGAAAGTTGTTTGCGTGTATGCGAACCAACCTGGACAGCAACAATGAGTCGAACAAACGCAATAAAATGAGTAGCAGCTTCAGCTTCGAATAGCAGCAATAATTGGCGTGCAGCTTCAGCTTTGAACAATTGCAATAATTGGTAATTAGCGTGGCAGCTTAAGCTTTGAGCAGCAGCAACATTTTGCAATTGGCGTGGAAGCTTCAATTTGGGACATCAACAATAATTAACAATGATGCAGGGATGACGCAGCGTGGTAGCTAAAACTTTGACATCTTCCGTTCCGATCATCAACAATAATTAGCGTGAAGCCTCAGTTTCGAACAGCATGAATGAAGCAGCGTCAAACAGAAATAATAATAATTTAGAACAACAATAATATATCTGTGGCGTGTATAGTAATCACTCCCTTAAAAGCATTTGCGACCAGGGTATCGCATGCTCTCGACAGAAAACACAGATTCTATGAACATATGAGTTCAGAGTTTCTCAGGTAGAAAGAAGGATTTTTGAGTGTTCTCCTAGCAGAGAGATGGAGTGTGTTATATATACTGAGAATAAAACCACCCCATCCAGTGAAATGCTACAAAGAAGGAGAGCAAGTGAAGGAGAATCACTCATGTCCCATGCACGTTCACAGTTTGTGAATAGTGTGCGGACAAGGTGGTCAAAACTCCTTAAAAATAGGAGTTAAAAATAGGAGAAGGTGGTCAAAACTCCTTAAAAATAGGAGTTAAAAAGATGTGCGGGTCAAAACTTTGACCCCACCACACCGCGCGTGCGAACCGAGCGGGCGGCGCGGGCTCTCCCCTTGTTTCCTCTTCATAACACTTCAAGCCTTCTAAATTGAGTGGTAATTTAAATAGTGAGAAATAGTGAGATACACAAGCAATGTGGGACAAAGCTTGATACTTAAATGTTCCCAACAATCCCCCACACATTTAAGGTGGCATTGTTATACCGTACCAACTTGAGTTTACACCAGAGTTAATTTCCATATCAGTGTATAAAACTTGAACTGACATGTAGTGGAACTAAGTAACCCTTTCCCGAGAGTGAATTAGATCTTGAACTCATCGGTCATTCGAGTTTTGAACTTAGTTGCACTCATTAACTTTGTGATAATCCCTGTTTCGTCTACCTCTACATGTAGACTTTTCAATCTGTCAAGTCTATCTCTGCATAGACTACCTGTAACAGGCTACAGATTTGTCACTGGTTTTCCCAGTTTTGTAAGTCTTTCCGTAATCTCATATGCCCAACATATATGGTGCATCACGAATTTCTTACCACATTGGGTTTCAAGCCCATCTCCCTTGACGTATCAAGGACGGTCTTTCGATTCAGACCTTTCGTGAAGGGGTCTGCTATATTCTTTTCAGATCTCACAAATTCCATTGTGATTACCCCATTCAGCATTAACTGCCTCACAGACTCATGTCTGACTCTTATGTGTCTTCTCTTGCCATTGTAGACACTGTTTTGCGCAACACTGATGGCAGTTTGTGAGTCACAGTGTATAGGCACTGCAGGTGCTGGATACCCCCACAACGGCACGTCTGCCAATAGGTTTCTAAGCCACTCTGCTTCCTGACTTGCTAGATCTAAAGCTATAAACTCAGCTTCCATCGTTGATCTGGCAATGCAGGATTGTTTTGATGATTTCCACGATATAGCGGCTCCACACATAGTGAATACATATCCACTTGTTGAGCTTGCATCATCACCACCGTTTACCCAGTTCGCATCACAATACCCTTCTAGCACAGCTGGAGACCCTTTATAATCTAGGCCCCAGTCTACTGTGCCTCTCAGGTATCTCAGTACCCGTTTTAGTGCATCCCAATGTAAGACACCTGGGCTGTGGGTATAGCGACTGAGTTTGTTTACTGCGTATGCAATGTCGGGTCTAGTGTAGTTCATTAGAAACATCAGACTATCGATTATTTTTGCATACTCTTCTTGTGACACACTATTCTCCATGTTCTTTGACAATTTTACACTGGGATCGTACGGGGTTTTGGCTGGAGTTACATCATAGCTCCCAAACTTCTTTAGAAGTTTCTCTGTATAATGACCTTGAGATAAGAGGTAACCCTCTTCGGTTTTTGTGACTTTTATCCCAAGTATTACATCGGCCTCCCCTAGATCTTTCATGTCAAATTTGTCACATAGACTTCTTTTTGTGTCGTTTATGGCCTCAATATTAGGGCTAAAAATCAACATGTCATCTACATAGAGACAGATGATTACAATGCTAGACTTTATCTCTTTAGTATATAAGCAGGCATCTGACCGATTTGTAGTATAACCCAGGTCTAATAAAGTTTTATGAAATTTTTCATACCACTGCTTGGGAGCTTGTTTCAAGCCATACAGAGATCTCTTAAGCCTGCATACTTTCCCTTCTTGGCCAGGATCTGCGCATCCAGGAGGTTGTTCCATATAGATATCTTCTTCTAGTTCACCATTGAGAAACGCCGTCTTCACGTCCATTTGGTGAACTAACAACCTGTGTAAAGACGCCAAAGCAAATAGAACACGAATGGTTGCTATTTTTGTTACCGGTGAGTAAGTAAAGAAATAGTCCTCACCGAATTTCTGAGTGTAGCCTTTTGCCACGAGTCTGGCTTTGAATCTTTCAATTGAGCCATCTGGTCTCAATTTCCTTTTAAAGATCCATTTGCAACCGATAGGTTTGGAGCCTCTTGGTAGATTGACCAACTCCCAAGTGTGATTTGACTGTATAGAGTCTAATTCATTTTTAACAGCCTCTTTCCACAATGTGGAATCTACCGAGCGCATAGCTTCTTGAAAGGTTTTTGGTTCTTCTTCTAGGACCAATTGACATATGAATTGATCACAAATTTCATTTATGTCTTTCAATTCTGTCAAGTAAGTTATGAAGTCAGAACCAAAACTTTTCTCTATTCTAGCTCTTTTACTTCTTCTTGGTTCCTCTGAAGTGTTTGAGAAACTCGGAAAAGAGTCAGTAGAATTTTGTTGAAGGCTAACATCAGATGAGGGACAAGGTGTTTTCAAAGGAAAGACTGTTTCAAAGAAAACGACATCTCTTGCTTCACCCATTGTACGATTTTCCAAAAACATGAACCTATATGCAGCACTATTTTCAGCATACCCAACAAAAATGGCGTCTAAGGTTTTAGGTCCCAAGTTGGGCCTTTTGAAGGACGGCAGTCCTACTTTAGCTAAGCAGCCCCATACTCTCAAGTAATTAAGGTTAGGGGCATGCCCCTTCCACAGTTCATAAGGAGTTTTATCAAACCCTTTGTGCGGTACTCTATTTAGAATGTGGTTTGCTGTTATAGCAGCTTCTCCCCACAAAGAGTCCGGTGCACCTGAACTGATTAACATTGCATTAATCATCTCCTTGAGAGTTCAATTTTTTCTTTCAGCAATGCCATTTTGTTGAGGAGTGTATGGTGCTGTTACTTCATGAATAATTCCAGAAGTTTCACACAGAGATTTAAGAGAATTAGATTTATATTCTCCGCCTCTATCAGATCGAAGTCTTTTTATCTTTTTGTCTAACTGGTTTTCAACTTCATTTTTAAAAACCACAAACTTTTGTTCTGCTTCGTCTTTTGATCTCAATAGATAAAGTTTAGTGAAACGCGAAAAATCATCTATAAACGTAATGTAATAACGTTTTCCACCTCTACTTTCAGTGGTTTTGAAATCAGCTAAGTCCGTGTGAATTAGTTCTAAAACAGATGTCTTTCTTTTGCATACTGTAGAAAACGAACTTCTAGCAAATTTAGATTCAACCCAAATTTCACATTGTGTGCATGCTTCATTTGACAGTTTTGGCAATAAATTCATGCTCTTTAGTTTGTTTAAGCATTTAGTGCCAACGTGTCCTAATCTATCATGCCAAAGATTTAAAGAAACAATCATATACGCAGAAGAGGAAACTTTATTATTAGCTACATTGTCTGAAAGGAGATCACATTTAGTTGAGCCTACAAGAGCACCCTGATTTATAGCTACAGACGCATCTAACACAAAAAGGCCAGCACGAAAGTATCCCTTTCCCAAGTATTTTCCACAGTGAGTCAGAACCATGCGGTCAGACTCAAAAACCATTTTTATTCCAGCCTTATTCAATAGGCCTCCGGAAATTAGGTTTCTACGCAGTGAAGGAACATAAAGCACATTTTTCAATAACAGAAGCTTTCCAGAAAAAAGTGTTAACTCAATTGTTCCTCTACCACTTACCTTAGAGATGCTTGAGTTTCCCATAAAGACTTGTTCGTCTCCAGTGTTGAGCTCGAGCACCTTGAACAGGTCTTTGTTGTTGCAGAAATGACGAGTAGCTCCCGTGTCCACAACCCACTCATCTGGATCTCCTACCATGTTTGCTTCAGTTATCACTGCAGCTACCATTTCGGTATCTCCTGAATTTTCCACTACGTTTGCTTGATTCTTTTGCCCTTCACCAGTAGGTTTTGGACCTGTCTGGTTCGTTGAACCCTTTCGGTGATAACATTGAGCAGCCTTGTGGCTACGTTTCCCACAAACATAACATTCTTTATTTTTTTTCCCTTTTTTCTGAACTTTACCGTTTTTCACACGGTTATTATTGTTTGGTTTTGAAATCTTCCTTTGGTTTCTGGCACCTTCCCCAGATTTAGACCTGTCAAAACACCCACCCGATTCAACTATATTAGCTTTAATATTATCAGAAAAGTTACCAGATTTTTGAACCAATCGGTTCTCTTCTTCTATATTGATAGTGTTGATTAGCTGCTCCAGAGTCTGATTCTTCAGTTCGTGCTTCGTCTTGTTTTTGAAGTCTAGCCACGAATCAGGCAGCTTATCAACCAATGCGTCCAACAGAAACGCATCATTCACCAGGGCTCCTTCAGATTTCATGTCAGCTACCAGGTTTTCAAAGTCGTGTACCTGTTCAGTAACGGTTTTGTCGTCCGTCATCACGAAGTGCAGCCATCTATGCACAACATATTTTCGCCTTCCAACATCATCAACGCCAAACTTGGCTTTCATTAGCTCCCATATCACTTTAGCAGACCGGTACGGCGAGTAAATGTCAAAAAGCGGATTACTTACTCGTTTAAGAATTTCTGCCCGTGCAGTTTTATTATCTTTCTCGAATTTTGTTCGAGTTGTCTGTAACGCTATAGTGGCCTGAGCCTGAGTCGTTTTTTCAGCTGTTGAGTCTGCAGAGGATGCTTGCTTTTCTGTTGTAGTAGTTTTATCAGTTTGAGCAGGAACTTGCGCCACTGTCTCCGTACTCTTCTCAGAATCCTCAAAGATGACATAGTCTACATCTTTAGATTCGAGAATCATCATCACCTTACCAGCCCATCGCTTGTAGTTCAAGCCCCCAATGAGAGGTTCAACCGGCGTGATGTCGGAGTGAGTGTTCGACATTGTTGATTAACACAAATGCTTTTAACTTGTTGAAAGTTGTTTGCGTGTATGCGAACCAACCTGGACAGCAACAATGAGTCGAACAAATGCAATAAAATGAGTAGCAGCTTCGGCTTCGAATAACAGCAATAATTGGCGTGCAGCTTCAGCTTTGAACAATTGCAATAATTGGTAATTAGCGTGGCAGCTTAAGCTTTGAGCAGCAGCAACATTTTGCAATTGGCGTGGAAGCTTCAATTTGGGACATCAACAATAATTAACAATGATGCAGGGATGACGCAGCGTGCAGTGGTAGCTAAAGCTTTGACATCTTCCGTTCCGATCATCAACAATAATTAGCGTGAAGCCTCAGTTTCGAACAGCATGAATGAAGCAGCGTCGAACAGAAATAATAATAATTTAGAACAACAATAATATATCTGTGGCGTGTATAGTAATCACTCCCTTAAAAGCATTTGCGACCAGGGTATCGCATGCTCTCGACAGAAAACACAGATTCTATGAACATATGAGTTCAGAGTTTCTCAGGTAGAAAGAAGGATTTTTGAGTGTTCTCCTAGCAGAGAGATGGAGTGTGTTATATTTACTGAGAATAAAACCACCCCATCCAGTGAAATGCTACAAAGAAGGAGAGCAAGTGAAGGAGAATCACTCATGTCCCATGCACGTTCACAGTTTGTGAATAGTGTGCGGACAAGGTGGTCAAAACTCCTTAAAAATAGGAGTTAAAAAGATATGCGGGGTCAAAACTTTGACTCCACCACACCGTGCGTGCGAACCGAGCGGGCAGCGCAGGCTCTCCCCTTGTTTCCTCTTCATAACACTTCAAGCCTTCTAAATTGAGTGGTAATTTAAATAGTGAGAAATAGTGAGATACACAAGCAATGTGGGACAAAGCTTGATACTTAAATGTTCCCAACATATGTTACTCGCAGGAGTGAATATTGTGGTGCCATTACCTTCATTGCACCGCGACAAAGATCTGTGGGGTGACGATGTACTAGAGTTCAAACCAGAAAGGTTTAAAGATGGAATTTCAAAGGCATCCAAAACCATAGGTGCCTATTATCCATTCGGCGGTGGTCCGAGAATATGCATTGGGCAAAACTACGCATTGGTGGAAGCCAAGGTGGCCTTGGCAGCAATCTTACAACGTTTCAGCTTCGAGCTTTCTCCATGTTATAAGCATGATCCTCAGTTGATTTTAACTCTTAGGCCTGCTTCAAATGCGGCCAATTTGATAATACGCAAGCTATAAGTTGTGTTTGTACGTTTTACTAGAAAACTTGCAACTGTTACTTGAAGTTGTGCACGTTGTGATTGGGTGAAATGTGTAGCTATATTTACTATTTGTACTGTAAAAGTTTACTATGTATTATCTGTTGAATAAAATATTTGTGATGTATGTATTACTATGTTTTTCAAATATGTAATTTCAACAATTCTAAGGTATTGAAGTTTTGAGTTCTGGTTAGTCAACCATTCCCCTTCCCGCAGTTCAATATAATTGTCATACGATGGTGGCGACTGGTTCATGGGTGACGACTCCGACGTGGGGTGCTGTTGACGGTTGAGTCCGGCTGTCGTTTTTTTTTCCCCTCGCCGAGGGTGTGTTCTCAGTCGCCATTCCTCGTCCAGAACGTGCGGTAGTGTGCGGCGTCGATGGACCAGTGCTGCAACGAGGCGATCATTGCTCCAATATAATGCTTTGGGCGAAACCAATTCCCAGGGTGTGATGGGCAGTGTGTACAGGGCCTAGTACATATTCACCGCGCCATACTGATCTGTGATTACTAGCGATTTCAACTAGAGCTGTCGAAACGGTCTCGCAGGGCGGGACGGGCCAAAACACACCAAAGCCCGTCCTTGTAGCGGCAATCGTTATATCCTACACCACGGCGCACATAGCACTGTGCGCCGCGCGCCTCCCAAAACGACGTCGTTTTGGGGTCGTGTTGGGAGGCGCAGTAGGAAGTTGCTGAGATTATGTGTATTCGTTCACAACGTTATGTGTATTGGTTCATACAGTTATGTGTATTTTTTATACAATTATGTACATCCGAATCCGAAAATTTGTGTGTATTATGTTAAGAGTTGATGTGTATTATGTTAAAAGTTTATGTTTATTATGTATTATGTTAGATTATGTGTATTATCTTTTAAAAAGAGTATGTATATTTTGTTATAACATTATGTGTATTCATGTATAACATTATGTGTATTCAAGTATAACATTATGTACATTCTTGAACAGCGGGTTTTTTTTTTAAAGAAAAGCCTACTGCCATTCACTGGGGCGGGAAATTTCAAAAAAAAAAAAAAAATTAAAACGACGTTGTTTTGCATCTGGCCGCATAGTGCAATGTACGCCGTGGTGTAGGATATAAATTGCCTTGTAGCGGGACGAGCTAAAAAGCCCGCCTCTTAGCGGGCTTGGAATGTGGTCGGCCTGCCCCGCCATGCCAAAGCCCGCTGGCGGGGCGGGCTAGCCCGCCAATCAATTTTTTCACTTTGTTAATTTAAAAAAAAAAATCATTGTACAATATCCTTAAAAAAAAAAAAAGAATCACTGTATAGATGTACAGTAGCACTACCTAGTATTGTATTCCTATAAATCTATAATCCTATAAGTTATAACACACTAACACAATTACACAAACCAAAATAACATATATTAAATACTAAATATATATACAAAATATATATGTATTAGCAGGTCGCGGGCTAAACCCGTGACCCGCCTGACCCGCCCCTCCTAGACCCGTGACCCAGGAGGGACGGGCTAAAAAGCCCGCCTCCTGGCGGATCAAAATTTGAAGAACCCATCCCCTACCTACGGCGGCATGGGACGGGTCGACCCGGCGGGTAAAACCCATTTTTGACGGCTCTAATTTCAACTTCATGTTCCCGAGTCGCAGAGAACAATCCAAACTGAGGCAATCTTTTCGGATTCGCTCCGCCTTACATCATATCCTTGCTTCCCATTGTAGCACATGTGTGGCCTAGCCCATAAGGGCCATGCGGACTTGACGTCATCACTGGCACTCTAGCAGTCCTTAGTGAGTGTGGCATACACTTTTTTTTTTTTTTTTTTTTTCAGAGCCATTTTGGCGGGGCGTATTAAACCTACTACGTATGCTAAACTGCTTGTTCATGAACATGTTTGTAAACATTATTATACTAATATAAACGAGCTTCTTCACGAGCTCTTAGCACATGAAATTTTGTGGTTAACTTTTTTCAATATTCTTTTAAACAAATTTCTGTGCACCTTTCGAAGTTTTCTTCCACCTAAGGATATTCTTATCACTGTAACTTTATTTCACTTTCTAAAATGAGTCATCTTAACTATAATAAATCTATATGGTTTGGGAAGTAATTAATGTTACAATTAATGTCACAACATCCTTTATTATAAAAAAAAAAAAAAAAGAAAAAAAAGAGCACAACATTTGAAAAATAAAATAGCTATATATTATATAATCATATAAAAAATGTACTTTTAAAAAATAAAATAGTTATATATTATATAATAATATAAAAATATGTTCAATTAGAGTTTAAATTTACTCATACAAAATTTGAAATTTGCTTTCCAAATGTAATTATCTTAGTTATTATTCGTATTGTGAAAATTATAATATAGATGAAATACAATTAAGAATAAATCAATGTAATTATGTAAATTCTCTCTATAAGTTTATTTGAATATGCACATAATTAGAGATTATATTAACCATACAAAATTTTAATTTTAATTAATTTTAATTGTAATTGTAATTTTGTATTCTATAAAAATAATAAATATTTGACCAATGGAAGCTCAAAAATATTATTATATTAAACAATTTAAAATATTTTAGTTTTTTTTATTTTTTATTTATATTTATAATAACATAATTTTTTTCCGTGCATCGCGCGGGTGAATTACTAATACTTCTAAATTATCAAATTTATAATTTTCTCACTATTTTCCCTACATCTAAAATTTCAACTCTCTCAAAAGTGAGCCTCAATTTTAAATCTATATAATTTCAACTCACTTTTTAACAACAACAATAATAATAAAATAATTTAAAATATATAGAAAACAAGTACAAAAGCTACAAAATTTAGCAAGCTAGCAAGCCAAGTGTCAAAAAAATAAATTAAAAAGTAAAAATTTAAAAAGAAATTGCCATGTGATCAACTTGCAAGCCCATATCATTTCAGGGATGGAGTTATCCTAAGAATGTTACGTTGTTGAAAATTACCGACCACCTTAAATTTGGAAAATTATTATGTGTCGTGTAGATCATAAAAAAATATATTTTAATATATTAAAAGTACATTATTTGTGTACTGAGTATATATTTTATAAAATACCAAGGACTTTTTGATCCAATGATATCTGGTCCCCCTTCTCTTGTAATAATAATTTTTTTTTTTTTATAAAATAATAGACTTCCCTTGAATATAACTATATAAGGTATTTTTATATACTAAAAGTACATTATGTGTATATTATTATTATTTTTTTGAAATGAATGTATTTTATTTGATAGTATACACAATAAATAATGATTGCTTAAATTTCAAAAGGAATTTGGATGAACTTCGACATGGACAGTAATCCGCTATTATCCAACCGTGTGTGCATTAACTCATTCGTTTCATCTTGTTTGTGATGTTAGAGTGAACAAATTGTGGTTGAAAATTGCACCGAACTGAGTGCCCAATCTTAAATTTTAGTATATAATATTTTTGAATAACGAGGGAAACACACAGTCAAATCGTACTAAGACCCTTTGTAATGAATTTGATCAAGAGAGTATTGATAAAAATTTATATGTCAACATTCTAATCATGGTTGCAAATATTGCGCTTAGGCGTCGATTAAGCGCTAGGCGTTAGCCGGCCGCCTAAAGTATCACCGTAATCGGCGGTCTAGGCAGCTGGCGCCGACCGACTAGGTCACCTAGTCGATCGATCGACTATTTTTTTTTTAAACAAAAGGTTAGTTCGTTCAAAACGACGCCGTTTTGAGCTAAATAACCCTAAATCGTTCAAACCTAATATTTTTATGTTAATATTTAATATTTTAGTATTAACTATTAAATTATTAAATAGTTTATAATTATCAACCATGTGATATAGTAATTATATTCCGCTCATATACTAGCTCATTTAATAATATATGAGGTTAAACTATTTAGCTCATTATCAACCCTGTGATAATATCATTTCGATATAACTACAGTTTTATTGGACAATATACACTCAAATAGGTGAAACTGTTATGTAGTTTCATTTCAACACAACTGCAAATTCATTTCGATATAACTACAGTTTCATTCGACATTATAAACTCAAATATGTGAAACTGTTATTCATTTTCATTTTATATACATTGCAGTTTCATTTCGACACAACTACAGTTTCATTTCAATTCAATTATAGTTTCATTTGATAATATAAAAATAATATGTGAGACAGTTTCATTTTAAATACACTGTAATTTCATTTTGTAATTAACACACAAAAAATACGCGCTCTATTAAGATGTAACGGAGACCGTTTCTTTACTTAAAGAAATGATACTGTTTTTGAACCATGGTCCACAAAGCGTTGTGTACCATGTCCACGATATAATTGCTAAGAATAGGATTAGTTGGCCTGAGAAGTCCAATCAAAATAAATGTTCAACTTGCTCAAATTCGACAAATTATTGCATGGACTATGACCCACACAATTGTATCCTTAGTTGGCCTGAAAGTACATTATTTTTGTATTGAAGGTCCATTATATAAAATAATGTACTCTTAGTATATTAAAAATGTACTTTAAAAATATATTTTGTGTACATAAATAATGTACTCTTGTTATATTAAAAATGTACATTTTATTTATGGTTCACACAATTGTGTGAACCTATACTATGGTCCATACAATAATAATTGCTCAAATTCAAAACCAGCCAGCTGAAATGCATTAAATAAAGAGTAGCGTAAAATGGCAAAATCTTTACGAATCCACCAACCACCAACTCGATCCATTAAATGGTCATTTGGTACTAGTTCCAAAATAAATAAAAATAAAATAAAATAAAACATGTATATAATATCTTGATTGAAGATACGACATAATATGCATATGGTTCAGAATGCCCATAATAATAATAGATCTTGATCCATTAAAAAAATGAAGAGTACAATTTTGCAATTGCCTTTTAAAATCAATGTCTTGTTAGATTGCGAATATTTTACAGTAATTTTAGTATGAGTTAATTCCAGCAATGCTCCTCCAACTATGTTGATTTTTCACAATTGATCCCTGATTTTTAATTTTGACAATTTAGACACATGATTTTCGAATTCTTTCCAGTGTTGGTCCTTCCGTTAAATGAAGGTTAAGTTGACGTCAATTTGAGGAGTAGATCTGGGGGTTCTCGACGCGTCGAGCAATTACAGAACGCAAATGAGACTTTTATGGCAATTCTCGACGCCTAACTCTCTTTGGCTCTTATTAGTATAGTAGATAATAGATAGTAGATAGTAGATAGATATTAGATATTCATGGTGAATTACCTGTCAGAAATCCAAACTCAAACCCCCAATTTTTGTAGCAGAAATCGAATCCACACCTTGACGCTGGGAGTAATAACTTGTTGATTTCTTAGTATTGACAGCAAATTATGTTGTGCATCTGTGTGGTGCACACGGATGCAAAAACGACGTCGTTATGACTAAAAACGCGCGTCCACTTAAAAAAAAAATCAGTTTTGATTCCCGGCAACAGCATTATGTTGTGCATAATTTGAACTATATATCCAGAATCAATGAACTAAAAATCCAGAATCAATGAACTAAAAATCCATATGAATGAACTAAATATCCAGCATGAATGAAAAAAAAAAATCAGTTTCGATTTCCGTCTAAATATCCAGAATCAATGAACTAAAAATCCAGAATCAATGAATTAAAAATCCAGAATGAATGAACAACATAATGCTGATGAGGAGAATCAAAACTGATTTTTTTTTTTTAAGTGGGAAGCGCGTTTTTAATCAAAATAACGTCGTTTTTACATTCGTGTGCACCATGCATGATGCACATGGATGCACATCATAACTATTGTTGTTTGGTTGTTACTTGTTAGCAATAACAAATCATAATAAAAAGAAAGTAGACAATTAAAGTTGACTCAATAATTAATTAATCCTCCAAAATGAAATAATTATTGTGCTAACTTTCTGTTTGCCGGGAAAGACCATTCTTTATTATCAGGTCCACATCCTAATATTAAATAGCATAGCACGTCTATAAGGGGAATTCTATTTGCACCACCTTAATTGCTATTTACACCACTTATTTAATAGGTGTGATAATTTTTAGGAAGTGTAAATAAAAAATTACTATTTGCACCACCTTCATTAATTTTAGTCAAAACATTATTTTTTTAACAAATATTTATTATAAATGACACCTTTTCCCCTTAGATATATGCTTTTAACACTTTTTCCCTCATAATTATTCATGTATCCACATTTGCCTCCTAGTTATATTAAAAGTGGCATGTTTTCTCCCTTTTATGTTTGATAGACGTTTTTACCCTTAAAACTATATATTTCATTTATTTTTTCTTCTCCAACAAATTATTGTTTATATGTACAGATGGTCACGGTTTAGTTCAAACAATTTTTTTTTTAATTTTATTGTCAGTTCAAAATGTATTTATTTATTATAAATTTTATTTTTTATTTTTTTAAAAAAATAAATTTAATAATTATTTTATTATATTTTATTTTTTCGGTTCTGAATCGTAAGCAAAGCCAAAGGGAGTTTGTTTTAATTTGCAATCACACGTGTTATATATTACTCTTCCGAACTTTATTCCAGTTAAAAAGGAAGAAAAAGTATTGATTTCTTAGACTTTCGCAGTCATATTGAAGTTGACAATTCATTACGTTCCAATAGCATTTTGGAGTGTGATTTTATATCTAAGATTATATTTGATTTCTCTCTTTTTGAGGAATGCACACCTTCATTAGAGGACATATATACTAGTAATCTACAATTACTTTGATTTAACAGCAATTGGTTTTTATATGATTATTATATATAATATGATTAAGCCAACTATCATGTAATATGATGACATTTTAATTACCATTTCAAATAAATGGTCATAGGTTCGAACCTTGGGAGTGGAGCTTAGATTCTTAGGGTTAAAAATGTTTTAAAAAATATAGAACAAATATAACTAATTGTGAAGGCATAACACAACTTTATTTTCCTATACTTACGATTCAGAACCAAAATAATGAAATAAAATAAAATAAAATAATTATTGAATTTATATTATTTTAAAAATAAGAAATGGAATTTATAATAAATACATTTTGAATTGGCAATAAAAAAAAAATTGTTCGAAGCGAACCATAATCATCTGTACATATAAACAATAATTTGTTGGAGAAGACAAAATAAATGAAATATTTAGTTTTAAGGGTAAAAATGTTCACCTAACATAAAATAGAGAAAACCTGCCACTTTTAATATAATTGAGGGAGCAAATGTGGATAAACAAATAACTGAGAGGAAAAAAGTGTTATAATCATATAACTCAGAGGGAAAAAGTGTACAATTTTTCCTAACTGGAAACTTTTAATTTGATTGCTATAGTGTCCGGTTCAGTTAGAACCGAACCGTGGTCATCCCTACGTATACGCAATAATTTGTTAGAAAAAAAAAATAAAATGTTTGCTTTAAGGGTAGAAATGTCAATTTAATATATTGGGGGGAGGGAAGGGGGGGGGGGGGGGGGAGAATCGTCACTTTTAGAATAATTGAGGGGGCCAATATACTAACATGAATTATTCGGGGGTAAAAAGTACTATAAGTATATAACTTAGGGGAAAAAAGTACTATTTTCTCTTAATTAAATTTTGAATTAAAAAATTATTAATTACACCTCATAAATGAGGTTTGACTAAGGTGGTGCAAATAACAAAATGAACCACCATTTGACTATTTACACCACCTATGTAATTATTAAAAATTTTTACTTTTTATAATTTCAAAATACTTTATATCTACTTTTGACCAAAGGGTGGTGCAAATATTGCACCACCCGTCTATAATTCTTCTAACTTCCCTTGGACGTGGTATTTAATAATTCCCTTGGAGTAAGATGCGGATCTGATCAAGAGTGGTCTTTCTGGCAAACAGAAAGTTAGCACAATAATTATAAAGTCAACTTCAATTATCCACTTTCTTTTTATTATGATTTGTTATTGCTAACAACCAAAGAGCTGTCAATAATAAATTTTATGATAATGATGGTTGTCATCTCTATCTCTATATATATATTAAAGCAAAATGATTAGTTTATCTCCAAATTGTGAAAGCATTTATTGTATTTACATTACTTTATAAATTCATGTAATTTTAATTACAAATCAAACATAATTATTAAATATGTCTATATCAAAGTGAATAATAAACAAAAAGATTTTAGTTGATAGAAGAGTAATTTACAAAATTAATTTATTGATCTGCTTCTCTTCCCCTTAAAAGGAGACTGATATCTCCATTCTGTGGAACGAAGGTCGTCTTCGCTCCTTCGTCCCGGGGAGGGGCCTTCGTCAAGGTGATCCTTTGGCTCCCTATCTTTTTAATATTGTCACGGAGCGGTTGCGTATGATATTCAAAACTTAGTCTCTTTGGGCGTCTGGAAACCTGTCCATATCACACGTGGAGGAATGGGTTTGTCTCACCTTTTCTTCGCAGACGATTTGTTGCTCTTTGTTGAAGCTTCAGAAAATCAAGCCGGGGTCATTCTGGATTGCCTGAATCGCTTTAGTAGTGTTTCGGGTCTCAAGGTAAATTTCTCGAAATCCCAAATTTTCTGCTCCCCTAACATTAATGCAGGTTGGAAGAAGAAGATTAGCGATAGGATGGGCATACCCGTCGTCACTCATCTTGGCACTTACCTTGGAATCCCTATTCTCCAAAAACAAGTCACCAAAGACACCTTCTACCACGTCATTGACAAAATGAGAAGGAAGTTAGCCACTTGGAAAGCAAGTACCCTCAGCCTGGCAGGAAGAATGACGTTAGTCCAAGCCTCCCTCGCCACGATCCTCACCTATACAATGCAATCCATGGCACTCCTGGTAAGTACGTGCAATAATAATGACACAATCTGCAGGAATTTCCTTTGGGGCCATGCAGAGGATACTAAAAATCCACACGGTGAGTTGGAAGGACATTTGTAGGTCAAAAAGCAACGGAGGACTAGGGTTCTGGCAAGCTAAGGATTTCAATCACTAAAATGGCCGGTCAAGTCCTGACGAATTAAGATCAGCTTTGGGTCAAAGTGATGCGGGAAAAGTATGTGAAAAATGATGAGTTCCTTTCCATCAAGACTAAACCCAACTGCTCTTGAGGTTGGCGAAGTATTTTGAAGGGGAGACATATCCTCAAGGAAGGCATTCGGTGGAGAGTGGGCACAGGAGCTACTATTAATTTTTGGCATGATCGTTGGGTTGGGGAGAAGCCGTTGGCTAACTTAATCCCTCACCCAATCCCCCTTGGCACCGAGAATTTGCGTGTTAGAGATGTTATGAACTTGGATAAATCCTGGAACGCAACAGCCCTCGAAACCCTTTTACCAAAAAATGCCATCAACCGTATTCGGTCCATCCCTATACCGATTGCCAACGATTATGAAGATAGGCTTTACTGGCCTTATTCAGACACAGGCGTGGCTACGGTAAGCTCGACTTTCCCTTTTATTGCAGGTTCGGATGAAGGCTCTCTCGAGTGGATCTGGCGCTTAACCTGCAGGGAAAGATTGAAGCTGTTTATTTGGAAAATCGGCAAGAATGGACTCCCGGTGAATGCTGAACGAAGACGGTGTGGACTGGCAACCGAGGATGCGTGTCTGAGATGCGGGTTAGCTGAAGAATCACTTGATCACATCTTCAGACAGTGCAATCTGACTAAAGATTGCTGGAACCTGACGATTCCCCCTCCAAGCTTTGCCACTAGCAACCACCTCCCCCTCTCATGTTGGATGGAACGGGCTTGCACGGGAAAAATGAGAGGACCTACTGAAGAAAGGTGGAACCTGCTTTTCCCGTATATTCTTTGGAACACTTGAAAGGCAAGAAACAGTGTGGTCTCCAAAAACATATGGCTACTCGCGACAGACATAGTTAAGCAGGCCAGATATGAAGCAAACGAAGACTTCTTAACACTCATGAAGAACAATGACATTGCGGTGGCTAGATAGATTTGGGTTCATTGGAGTCCACCGCCGCCTATATAATAATTAAGTAATAAATATGCTTAGAAAAGTAGATATATTTTGTCAAATAAAAGAGTTTCCTAATATTCTCAAAAGAAAAAAAAAAAAAAGAGTTTCCTAATAAAATACAAAGTTTATTTTAAATATTTTGCATAAAAGGACTTGGTTAATATTGATTTTAATTTTTAATGAAGTGACATCTTCTCCTTCACCGTCTGTGTATAACATCTATACAGCGGGGTGCATCAAATATTAATTCACATGCATAGATTACCTAAATAATCTAACATGACATGAACCAAACGCCGCCCCCTTATTGTACAACCACTCTACAGTTATGAAGATAAAGGAATCTTTACCTCTAGTTGGTGCAAACAATAATACAGTAGGACCTTTGGTTGGAACGTTATGCTGTGAGCACGTGCCGACCTTGTAAGGTGGACATAGTTCCATACCCATAATTTCTATACAGTAGATTCATAATTTTTATACTGTAAATTCATAAAATTTATATTTTAGATTCATAATTTCTAAACCGTAGATTCATAATTTCTATACAGTAGATTCATAATATCTAAACTGTATAGTTATCAATTATGAACATATAGTTCTCTGATTTGTGAAAACAGAGTTTAACAATTGAAATCTAAAGTATAAATTTTATGAATTTACAATATAAAAATTATGAATCTACAGTATAGAAATTATAGATATGGAACCGGAACTGTGAGGTGGGCACGTGCTCACAGCATAATTTGCCCCTTTGGTTACGTTGGTGCAAAATTTAATACTACTGTAGGAAACCTACCGGCATGGTTTGCAGGTATTTAAGGTGCTGAGGCACTTCTCATAATATAACATTAAGGTCTTATACAAAATCACTGAGTCAAGCAAGCAAAGGAAACAAGTATCAACTATGGATAGAGGTTAGACCTATATGTTTCATGTCATTTATATTTTTACAGTTGGTAGATGAGATCTCTGCCTAGTTGATTAATTTAGTTATGTATGCAATATGAATACAAATATTCTCTGAAGTGCATACATATATTTGTGCTATGCTAATTTACATATATATGTAGAATTCATATATGCATATAAATTTTTCCAAAACAATTTTGGAAATTATTTTCGAAATAGAAATAAACCTACTGCCTTCCCTTGGATTCGCCGGAGAATCGCCGGTTACGGTCTCCATTCGGTGGCGGAGTTAACGTTGCTCCTCAAGCTCGAGTCAACGACGAAAGGGATCGTGGCGCAGCCTCTGACGACGGCGGGCGGCGTCGAGGCGAGATGGCGGCGAAGTGGCTGGGCTTCCTGGCTCGCCGCTACTGTCTTTCCCTTTCCGGCGATGCAGGCTCGAGCTGTCGCCGTTCCATCACCATCGCTGCTCCTTAAGCTTCCGGCAACAACGCTCTTCAGGCTACAGTGGACGACGATGGAGATGGTTTAGATGAGGGATACGGCGAAGGGCTGGCGGTGGTGCCCTCTCCATTCGGCCTCACGGCTCTCTCTCTCTCTCTCGTCCATGGCAGCCTATCTCTCTCTCCTCTGTATCACTGGCTGCAGAAATAATTGAGATGGCAGCTAGGTTTGGCAGGAGTGAATAAAGAAGAACATGATGATGGATCATAGGCAAATTATGCTGTCAAACCACAACCCCGACCACTACCTCTTCTTCTTGCAACATCTTCTCTATCCAACCACAACCCCCATAAATAATCTACAAATAGCTAATCATTTTATTTCTATTCAACTTACTTGCTCAAACTATCTCTTCTGAAAGACTTAACTTGTTCCATTTCTCCGTGATCAATGTCTCAGTGAATGAATACGTTGATGTCAAGTTACCGTGTGTCTGGCTTCATTTGTTAAGACTCTGGATGAGTGTTCTATTGTAGTTGGGCTCCGAATGAGTTTTCTGTTGTAATTGTGCTCCAGATGAGTGTTCCATTGTAGCTATGCTCTGGATAAATGATTCGTTGTAGCTGCGCTCCGTATGAGAGTTCCGTGGTCGCTGCATTCCGAATAAGTGTTCCGTTGTAGATGTGCTCTGAATGAGTGTTGTTCCGTTGTAACCGATCTTGAGGCTGAAATTTTTGGTCCGTCAGGATTATTTTATTTTGTTCATGACAAAACAGCATAAAAGGAACAGGAAACTATATCTCTACAAAAAGACCAAACATCTTCACTGTTTGGTCACTAAGTCACTAACCATAACAAGGCTAAATGATTTAAGGGACAAACTCAATTTTCTTTCTTGAAAACCTTAACTTGCGGGGCATATTAAAACTCTATATTCTAACACACTAGAATTCATTTTTCCTCTCCCTATATTATTAGGAATATTACCATTTACCATTGATATCATAACTGTAACTCTTTGTATCCTTATGATGAGTGAATGTTTTACGTTAATTCAAACTCAGACTGCTACACAGAGATACAAAAGAGATAGAAGCCTATCTAACTAACCCCACATAATTGCTGTAGGTTACAAGACTAAATCAACTCTACATGTACAAGAATAATGTTACATATAATTATACTAATAATGTAACACTACTAACATACCCCCTCAAGCTGAAGGTGGTGGAGACACAACATTGAGCTTGTCCCTCAAAGAGCTGAAACGAGCGGAAGCCAGAGGCTTGGTGAAGATGTCGGCAAGCTGATCCTTCGTGGAGACGAAGTTGACTAAGAACTCCCCTGTGGAAACCTTGTCCCGAACAAAATGGTAGTCAATCTCGACATGCTTAGTCCTGGCATGAAACACGGGGTTGGCACACATGGAAGTGGCCCCAAGGTTATCGCACCACAACGTAGCGGGTTAACCGAGTGTAGCCCAAGTTCCCGAAGATGTGACATAACCCAGGTGACTTCAGCGGCTACATCAGCAAGGCCCTTGTATTCTGCCTCAGTGGACGACCTGGCCACAGTCCGTTGTTTGCGAGAAACCCAAGAGACAAGATTAGATCCAAGAAAGACTGCATACCCGCTGGTTGACTTCCTGTCCACAGGCCACCCAGCCCAGTCAGAGTCCGAATAAGCATGAACGTCGGAGGAAGACGACGGAGACAACTGTAAGCCATGTGTGAGAGTACCCTTCACATAACGAAGAACACGTTTGAGCATGGCCCAGTGTTCATCAGTAGGAGTGTACATAAACTGGCAGAGTCTGTTGACTGCATAAGAGAGATCCGGACGAGTGATAGTGAGATACTACAATGCCCCAGCCAACCGACGATATTGAGTGGGATTTTCATAAGGGTCTGTAGTCGGTGTCGCAGACTTCGTCACTGTTGTTGGAGTGGATAGAGATTTGCAGTCTGACATACCAGCACGAGTGAGAATATCATCTATGTAACGGCGTTGAGACAGTAATATGCCGCCATCTAGTGGTATAGTCTCAATACCGAGGAAGAACGTAGGGCTTCCTAAATCCTGAATTTTGAAAGTGGAAGAGAGGCGACGGAGAAGCTCATCAAGAAGACTAGAATCGTTGCCCATCATGATAATGTCGTTTACATACACAAGGAGATAGATACATGAGTCATTTAATGTGGAATAAAACAAAGACACATCGGTTTTGGAGGCTACAAATCCCGATGTCAGAAGATAATCATGGAGCCGATTAAACTAGGCTCATGGGGCCTGCTTGAGTCCATACAAGGACCGCTATAGATGACAAACATAATCAGGGTGAACTGGGTCTTCATAACCAGGCGGCTGACGCATATAGACGGTTTCTATAAGATGACCGTTTAAGAACGCGTTATGAACATCAAGCTGACGAAGAGTCCACCCACGGGACACAGCCAAGGCAAGCAAGATGCGGATCGTTGTTGGTTTAACAACTGGGCTAAACGTCTCAAAGAAGTCATCGCCGGCTACTTGATTGAAACCTTTGGCAACCAAGCGGGCCTTATGACGTTCAATCGTGCCGTCAGCTTTCCATTTAGTACGGTAGACCCATTTACAGCCGACAACATTCATACCAGGCTTGGCCGGGGTGAGACACCAAGTATTATTATGTAAGAGGGCATTGAACTCCTGATCCATGGCATCACGCCACTCTGGATAGCCAACTGCTTGGCTATAGCACGTAGGATCTACGGAGGCCGTAAGAGCTTGAAAGGGCTCATCCGTTCCTCGTGTTTGATGACGAAGACGCATAACATGACCCCGTTCTTGAGGTTGTGCCCGAGTTCGTTTCCGAGCCCGTGGTCCACGACACGGAACTGTAGCAGCCCCTGACTGATCCTGTATGGCCAAGGGCAGAACACACACCGCCAAAGGTGGCTCATTCAAGGGTGTTGTGGACTGCCCACACGGCACTAAGGGACTAGATGCCCACGTCGTAGTATCACACGGCTCATGTGGGGTAACCGTGTCCTATGTACCTGTTGCATAGGGGAAAACATTTTCATCAAACCGAACATGGCGACAGATGAAGGTCTTTCCTGATATTAGGTCCATGCATCGATAACCTCTATAGGATGTGGGGTACCCTAGGAAGATACAGGGTGCAGAGAGATATTCTATCTTGTGGCGATTATAAGGCCGCAGATATGGATAACACCTGCACCCAAAGACACGGAAAAAGGTGTATGGAGGTGTTTTGTTATAGATGGACTCGTAGGGACTGACGTGTTTTAGTGCAGACGAGGGTAGACAATTAATAAGGTAGGAAGCAGTTTCAAACGCACAATCCTAATATTTTAAAGGAACTAAGCTTTCTGCAAGTAGTGCTAGCCCGGTTTCAACAATATGTCTGTTCCGGCGCTCTACTCGTCCGTTCTGCTCATGTGTATAGGCGCAAGATTGCCTATGCACGATACCGAGAGATTGAAAAATTGTATGTAATCGGCGGTATTCGCCCCCCAGGTCAGACTGAATAGACTTGATAGAACGCGAGAATTGACGTTCTACAATGACACGGAAAGACTCAAAAATTTTATAAATGTCTGATTTTAACCGCAAAGGGTAAAACCAGTAGAATCGAGAGTGATCATCTACAAATAAAACAAAATATCTAAAACCCCCGGCAGAAACAACGGGTGTCGGTCCCCAAATATCAGTGTATATTATGTCGAGTACATTATTACTACGGGAAATAACCCTATCTAATGGGAATCGAGATGATTTCCCGAGTTGACACGATGAACACAACCGCGGCACACTTGAATTTGTGGGAGTGACCGGACACTTTTGTAGGACACGAATTTGAGCCCGCTCATGTGGATGTCCAAGCCTACGATGCCAAACATCTGGCGTGGCACGAACGGTTATTAATGTAACAAGTGACCGAGACAGTGACAATCGGTATAGACCTCCCGTGGTAGGACTCCTAAGGAGCACCGCCTTGGTTTGACAGTCCTTCACAAGAAAATGATCACGGTGAAATTAAAAAAACACGTTATTGTCAATGGTAAACCTATTAACAGACAATAACGGTAATGACAAATCAGGCACATGAAGAATATTATGTAACTTTAAAGATTTAGACGCAGAATTCAACGATGCATGGCCAATATTAGAAATACCCAAACCTGAATCGTTGCCCACACGCAACACATCCCCGCCGGAGTAAGGCTCGGAGTGGGTCATCATTGATGCATCAGGTGTGGCGTGCGAAGAGGCCCCGGTGTCCGGGAACCACGCGTCGGGCGCTATCTGCGAACCTTCATCGGCAGAAACTGCAGCGTGCACCTGCCCTCGGAGAAGATTCAGGCATCTCGCCCGTGTAGACGATCCTAGAGCAGCGGTGATCGACGACCACACCTCGTGCGATGTACTGCGTCCAACGGCAAGGTATAGAACCTCATCGGACATGGAAGATATCAACAAAGACAGGATCGATTGATCCTGTTGTTCCCACAAGGCGTGTGCCGGATTCGGAGTGGTGGTGGTGGTAGTGCCTCCCGAACCTGCTTCACTGGTCGTCGGTGCAGTTACGGCCGCCGGAGGACACGGGGTATCGCCGGTATCGAATCCGAGTAGGCCCTGCCCTCGGAGGAAAGGTACCAATTGGGTACACTAGAAGATGTAGTTTTTGGTGGTGAGTTTCATTGACACAAAATGATGTGCCGTAGATAATGTGTTTGGGGTGGCCGGAGAAGGGAGGGTGGCGGCCGTAACAGTTCTTTCACTGGAATTAGTCGACATCGTGAGGAGAGATGAGAGAGAAAAGGTCTACCTGGTTAGCTGATACCAGATGAGTGAATGTTTTACGTTAATTCAAACTCAGACTGTTACACAGAGATACAAAAGAGATAGAAGCCTATCTAACTAACCCCACATAATAGCTGTAGGTTACAAGACTAAATCAACTCTACATGTACAAGAATAATGTTACATATAATTATACTAATAATGTAACACTACTAACACTTATAAATACATATCTTTATCATATACTTCAAATCATCATTGATCAATAATAATATCATTCTCTCCGTTATTATTCTAATAACATTGTGTCCTACTGCTTTTGCAAGGCCGGAATTAGTACATTAAGCGTATCATTGATTAAAGGGACAAATTAAATTATGATTTTTTTTTTGGGGTGTACTTATGGTTTCTCGGACCGAGATCGCATTAAATTGTGATTCTTTGCTTATTGATATAAAAGCAACAAAAAAGTAAGAAAAGCTAGCATAGCTTTGATTCCTATGAATTTGGTAGTGATTAGCATAAAAAAAATTACACTTTTCGATCCTAAGTTATAGAGTAATTGTAGATTTCGTTCCTCTAAGTGTTGGTGATACTCACTTTTCGTCTCTAAGTTATCATTGACGTTGCACTTTTCGTTCCTTTACTAATAAAACATTAGAGACGAAATTTGCAATATTAGTATAACTCTGGGACGAAAAGTGCAATACCAATAATAATTTAGGGATGAAAAGTGAACATGACCAACACTCAGGAACGAATTCTATAATTACTCTTTGCTCATTTTTTGAAAAATAAATCAAACACAATCAAATTAAACATTGAAAATAAAAATATTTTCTGAAAAATGACTCATTTTCGAGAAGTTGTTTTCCTAATTTCTAAACACACCATCCATAAACTTAATATTATGAAAAATTGAACTAAAAATAGTTTCAGTCAAGTCTGGTTAAGTGAACCAGACACATAAAATAGGACGGGGGAGTAATCAAATATGATATGATGATATGATGATGATAGACGATGAACATGATGTTACGTTGCAGTTGATTTCAGCAAATACCGGCCACTAAACAGAGCTATATTGGCAGCAAATTGGGAGGAAGCTTTAATATTCTTCAACCAACACCCTGCAGCAATTAAATCTCCACTTAACACGGACTTAGAGACTGCATTGCATGTTGCTGCTAAAGTAAGTAATGCCTCCTTTATGGAAAATCTTGTAGCATTATTGTTGGAAGATGATGAACCAGTAGAAGCGCTTTGCCAAGGAGACGTCAATGGGTGTACCGCACTTCACTACGCTGCCTCGCATGGAAACATTGAGGTGGCTGATATCCTTGTTCGCAGGAATTCTAATCTCCTCTATCTTCACAACAACTATGGTTCTTTCCCCATCCATTATGCGGATATGAATAATCGCAAAAGCAAGGACGTCTATCTGTATTTCCTTGGTGTGACTAGGGATGATGAATACGGGCAGCCTAATCCATATGCAGGCCCAACTGGTCTCTCTTTGCTTGTTGACATAATCATAGTTAAATTCTATGGTACGTATAGTACTACATCCATCTTAATTACCCTCTTTGCTTAGCTAAGCTAGCTTATTATAATAATTTATATATACAGATTTGGCTCTGCAGTTGGTTCAAAGGTACCCTGATTTGGTCCGTCATAAGACTTTACATAACAATCTATCAGCTTTGGATGCCATAGTTAGTGGCTGTTCCATTATTAACAAAAGCAGTCTAAACTTTTGGCAAAGTTTTATATACTATTGTGAGTAACTTAATTTTCCATTTCTATCGACTATCTTTATTTATATATATACTTATTCTTCAATCTCGTGCCTGCCAATCAATTAATTACTGCTCATTTCGATCTTTAACTTACTAGTAATTAAAATTATTATTGCATGCAGGTGTTTCTAAGGCCGAGTCAAAAATAATTTTCCACCTCATCACCTCACTACTACCATGTATGTATGTATGGATGTGTGTATACATAACTAACTAACATGACCACATAAGATCAGAATATATAGTTGGAAGATATATAATAATAGATTTTTTTATTATTATTGTTTTAATTCAATATATCTATCAGGGCTCGTAGGGAAGAGCATAGTAAACAAAATGGTGCTGCACCACCAAGAAGTGAAGCTTCTTAAATGCTTGTGTGATCAACTCACAACCCTAAATGATACACAAGTGGTCTCATTGGCAAAGCGTGCAGTCTTTGAAGCAGCGAGTTTAGACATTTGGCAAGTTATCTTAAATATTGCGGAAGCATATCCTATGTCGGTTTATTTCAGAACCGACATGCGGCAGTATATACTTCACATCGCAGTAGAGAAACGTAGCGAAAATGTTTTTAACCTTGTTTGTGGAACCAATGTGCTTAGCATTACTTTACCGAATTTTTCGGACACAAATGGTAATAGTGTTTTGCATTTGGCTGGGAAATTGGCACCTCCCCACAAACTAAATCTTGTTTCTGGTGCAGCTCTTCAAATGCAACGAGAGCTTCAATGGTTTAAGGTACGGTATGTCACAATCTCTTATATGTTTTCTCTCATCGTTTCATTTTTATTTTTGTGATGACGGTGAAACTCAACTCCATGGACTACACGAAGGTGCATACACAGGGTAAACCCCATGCTAGTACTGTCTTGTTAGTAAACCAGTCTAGGCAGTTCTATTGAGAGTCAAACTTGTTATCTTGTAGTTATCAATTCAACAATTTACAGACCAATTTGATTGGAGTTGGGGCTGGGGACTGGGGTTGTCTGACCAACATACTTTTTTTTTTTTTTGGAAACTAACACACACACACACACACACACACACACACACACACACACATATATATATATATATATATATATATATATATATATATATATATATGATTCATTTCATCTGATCTGCAGGAAGTGAAAAAAATCACACCATCACGTTTCTTGTCATATGAGAATAAAGATAAGAAAACACCGAGTATGGTCTTTACTGAGGAGCATAAGGAGTTAAAAGAGACAGGGGAGAAATGGATGAAAGACACAGCAAATTCATGCACAATTGCTGCAGCCCTCATTGTAACTGTAGTCTTTGCAGCAGCCATTACAGTTCCGGGTGGCAATAATGGTGGAAATGGCCTCCCAATCTTCTCCAACAACACTGTTTTAACAGTATTCGCCATCTCAAATGCTGCATCTCTCTTCACATCAGCTACTTCCTTGCTCGTCTTCTTGTCCATCCTAACTTCGCGCTATGCAGAACAAGACTTCCTATACGCTCTTCCCAAGAGATTAATCATAGGCCTCTTCACCTTGTTTTTGTCCATAATATTTATGATGATTGCCTTCTCCGCCACAGTGTATCTCGTATTTGGGCAAAACAGAAGGGAAGTTCTTATTATGGTGGCTTCATTTGCATGTTTGCCGGTCACTTCATTTGTGCTTCTTCAATTCCCTTTGCTGGTAGATTTGGTGTCATCTACGTACGGACGGGGCATTTTCGATCAGCGTGGATTTCCCCAGCTCCCATATTGATTTGCATGCCACTCAAATTGACTTTGTAATGCTTTGATCATTTTAATTTGTGGTTCTAAGCAAGTTTCAGCCAAAGTTCTTTTTGATTCCATAAGGCAACCATATATCTCCAACACACTTCACCACAAGTACGAAATATAAACAGAATGTGAAAAAAAAAAAACACAGAAAAAACAGCAATAATGTTTTTAACCTAAGCTACCAACATCCTAGAAATCACAAACAATCATTTCAAGTTCAGTCAGAAACTGACTACAAATTCCCATCTGCACACGTGAGATGTTAAATGCTAATGCCTAAAGTTATGTTGAAAGCTCACCAGTTCTTCAGTTCATGGTGAAAAGCTTCAGACTTCAAGAATTCATGGTGAAGTAACTTGGCTGCTTCTAATTCTGCTAGAGCGCCTTACAGGAGTTATAATTTCTTCACCTCCACCACTTCCCTATAATAACAAAGAAAATAGCCATAGTTGTTAGAAGAGGGGAATGGTGTTTGAGAAACACGAAGACTGCAACTGCCACTGCACCAAGTAAAAACGACGAAATTCCCAGGATAGTAGAACTCCTTTCCTGAATCGTATACGACAGCATCTCTGAAGTTGAAGGTTTCTCAAGACAAGAATCATCGATTTTAGTCTTGAGATTGGCATCCAGTGATCACTTTACTATTCTTTTTGGTTGTTGGGAATGATTATGACAATAATCTTTCTGTTTCCTTCACTGATAAATAGTGCTCCTTTTTAGTGGAATTAAATGTTCATAGAGTATTATGTTTTATTGGCTTTATAATCTTAGGTTTTTTCCCATGATAAATCTTTAATTTGCTTGTTCTTTAAAATTGTTAATGGTGGTTAATTGCTTGTATTTTCATGGTGGTTAATTGTTAATTTGGTCTCTTCTTTATACGAAGCATGAATCTTTTGGTTTGATTTTATAATTTGAATCTTTTGGAAGAATGCAAATCTTTCTCACAGTAGTTATTCCTAATTCAGAGATCTAGGAGATCATCCGATTAACAGTTCTTCAAGTTCATCATCAGAGGTTCAAATCTAATTACATCCAATTATAATCCTTAATTTTTCATTTAATGTGTAGGTACGCCAAGATTAAAAAAGGTTCATGGATATGAGTCGGTCAATGTCTCATCATCAATTGTTAAATGATGCATCGCTTGAAGAACAAACTCAGGATAATAAAACACTTCAAGAGCAAACTCAAGGTACTGAAACACGACAAGAGCAAAATGAAACATTTTGCCATCTTCATCTAAAAAGAAAGCAAAGACTTCATGGGAAGTTGATGTGATTTGTAAGTTTACATTATTATATTTATTGATTGATATGTACAAAAAGTCTGAATAAATCAATACATTAATTTAATTCCATTTATTGACAGATGAAGAAGGATTTGTAAAGAAGAAAAAATTGAAAGTTAAAAGAAGTTTGGACATTACCATTGGGTGAAAAAATCATAGTCCCATTTGACAACTTTGATACACCATTCACTGAAGCAGTTGGACTATTTACTGGAACACTTGTAGGGTTGGCACAGGAAAGTAGCTCATTTACAATCAATTTTACTAATTGGAGATTGATGCCAAAGCAATATAAAGAAGATATCTTTGTCAAAATAATCAAGGTAACAAAATAATTTCTGAAAAAGCTCGTGGATCTTGAATGCAAGAGATAACCTAAAGGTTCCTACTGGATTTTAATTTAATTATTAAGCTGGACTAGCTCCAGGATCTACTCCAGACAGAATAAACAAATAACTTATAAAAGCAATAAATTGCACCGTGCACCAGGAGTTGTTCACGCAGTTCGGAGCCTCACTCCTACGTCTGCGAGGCCGCTCACGTCAACCCAAATCCACTAGATGAATAACATGAGTACAAAAGGAAGAGATAACATTACACTTGAAGTAAAAACTATATCTACTCCAGAACCTACTCCAGCAATTACGTGGACTTGACGTGCAGGCTATCTTCTTCGCATCACGAACTCTTCGTGAGATCTTCTTCAGCAGTACATCATCGAACAGACATGAGAATAAGATATATCAGAATAGTATATGCAGAAATCCTCTTAAAGCCGTGGAATTAAAATGCTAAACAAAGTAGCATTTTATAGAGGTATTAAAGTGCCTTCTTGATCCATAAAGGTGGATCTTAAAACTCCTCATTTTAAGCTGCTTCTTTGATTAAAAAGCTCCCTGAAAATAGGGTCTTGACTTTGACCGTATTTCTTACTCGCTGACTCTTCTCCTGGCGTTGATCCAGTGACTAAAAATTTAGCTAATTTTGACAACTAATTTTAGCCAACCATAAGAGGGTTAATATGTAACATTTTCATACTTGTGATTACACTTACAGTTTCAATTATTTGCTACATTCAAACAATAAATGTATAATGGTAATAATTACATTTACCATGATTTGAAGTCAAAATTTCACTTCCAAAATGATGAGATTGCAAAACGTTGGACACTTCAAAATATTGGGAGGAAATGGAAAGACTTCAAATCTAGGTCGTGGATAGAGTTCTATGATCCTTCGTTAAATCGAGATAAACTGATTAGTAAGTGTCCAATTAGAATTCCAGTGGTCAAGTTTTGTCAACTATCGTTTGTCTGAAAAATCTAAGGTAATGTTTCTAATAACCGTTTGCTTATTATTGTGGTCATATTTGCCTAATGTATTAATATTATACTCTATTATTAGGAAATGTGTCAAAAAAAAATGCGAAAACACCAAAAAATTGCACATACTTGTGGATCAAAGAGCTTTGCTATGAGAAGGGCTGAGATGATATTTTTTTATTTTTTTATTTTTTTGCAATTAACTAAGTTGAATGTTTATTTTTTTTTCTTAACTACTAAGAATTTAATTTTCATACAAGGAAATTGAACATGTTATGCATAATAATCAATATTATTTCCATAATAAATATGTTATAAGTCAAAATAAAATAGCTATAATTATCATTAAAATATCACTCAATAACGGTGAGATCTATACTTTAATGACCCAAGATAGGTCCCAAATAGCTTTTACAAAATAGGGTTTTAAACCCAAGTGAGACATAAGACAAAATATGTCCACTATTTAGGGAAAACTAAACAAGCTGCCTTAATAGGTCATAATGTCCAAAATTGACCTAAGGATCTAAAGTTGAATGATATTTAATATAAAGACTATGAATTACTAATAGAAAAAATATTTGATGCACCTTCATTATATAGGTGCTATACAATAGCGGTGAACTAAATCATGCCACCTCATTAAATGTAAAGTCAATTTTAACGAAATCCTTTGAAGTAAATTATAATAATTCTTAATATAATATAATATAATTATTATAATTATTTTATGTTTTCAAAAATAATTATTATATTCAATTAAAACGGAGTATAAATAACTTCCCGGCCCCTCCGCCATTTCTGGGTCTTGGAAAAGCTCGACGAAAAGCGAAAGAAACGTGACTGTAAGACCAAGTCTTTTTATTTTATTTTTATGTTATTTTATTTTTTAATAACGTTGTCTCTACTTCTTTCGGTGTTTGCATTGGTTAGTACAAAATTAATATGAAAATATTAATTTAATTTTTAATTAGCATATGTTAGTTGTTTGGTTGGATTATTATAAATTAAATATGATGGTCCAAATTAATTGTGAAACTGATGAAACTATTTCAGTGAAGTCTTATTATTGATGCGATGTGTGGTTATGAATTCAAAGAGAATGCATGAATTGAGGTGTTGCATGAATTGTGGATGCAAAATGGTGACATGAGTAGTGGTGTACGTGTAGTGCATGGGTGATGTAAATGTGGAAGGGGAAACATGCTAATTATTTTGGAAGTTGGATGATGGCGTGAATCAAGGGAAAAGAGAGAGAGAGATTCAATATTATAAATAGACATATTTATAATGAAGAACTTGAAGTTTTCAAAATGGGAAAAAATAGAAATATTATTCTGGAAAGTGTTACAAGGAATTATTCGAAAGATGCTATGAAGAAACTTTTAAACAGGAAAAGATTGGTGTACTATTTGGAGAAGTCAGCTCCACTTTATATTAGTACAAACTGTATTGAAATCCAAGTTGGTTACAGTTTGTTTAATTGGAAGAATTAGTTCAAATTGTATTGTATATTTTTTCATAGAGTTATTTTACGAGGTTAATGTTTAAATAGGCGGTAGACCTAGTTTTGTAATTTATTGAATTTGTAATTGTAAAAACCGTGGGTTGATCTTGAGTGAAAAAGTTTTTGGGCGTGATCCCGCATATTAGGAGATGTTATTTTTACATATTGTGATACATATCTGCATTAAATATTTTTAGCATTGTTCTTCTGCCTTGGGTTCAGATATTCTTTGTGATGTTGTGAATTCTAAAAGTTAAATCTTTGATGGTGTATTGTGTATTGAATTGCATGATGCCCTTGTTTCAACATTTTCATTATATGCACATTTGTGAGTGTTCTGACTGTGAATTCTAATTCTAATTATTTTGTAGTGCACTTTAATTTCTTTGTCAATGAGGTATAGCTGCACTGATAGAATTAGTCTGGATTGGTTGAGTTTGTAAATGCAGTATAATGAATATGACAGAGTTCGTTGTTTAGGGATTTAAAAACTGAATAATAATAATTTTTAGTAACATAAAATAATTATAAATATAATATATTAAGAATTATTATAATTTGCATAAAAGGGTTTAGTTAAAGTTTACTTTACATTTAATGAGGTGGCATTGTTTAGTTCACCACCGTTGTATAGCTCCTATACAATGAGGGTGCATCAAATATTTTCTCTAGCATGCTTGGATTTTACATATTAATATATATTAATTCATTCTTCCAAAAGGCTGAACCCCAACCCTAAGGGCCACTCACACCCCGACTCGACAGAGCATTTGGAAGGATGTAAATCATGATAACTCAACTGAACATGAACCACAGAGGCTAGACCGGTGCTCACTGCGCACAAGAAACCCCCTCACTTTGAGAGTTTGCTCCCACACTGCCGCTGGTGAGACTCGATCCCTGGTCATTCTTCTAAAAACGTTCCAATATATATTAACTCATGTATCCTAAATAAATTAACAATACTTTAGGTAATTTAATATGAACCTCATATTAAATTAAAATTCAAATAGCAAATTTAAAATTTAATATTTATCCATAATTAAATAATAATTTAATAATAAATTAATGCCAAAATTAAGAGAAAACTAAAGAACATCAATATTTCAAAACAAGCAATTACCATTTGCCAAAATCGTATACAATATCAATTAAGGTATATATAAATATATATGGCAATATTAAACTAAATAATTACCATCTACTAAAATTAATATTAATATATATAATAATAAATTAGGCAAATACTAATATGGTAAAATAATAAAAGTAATTGTATTTTAATAAGGAAATGTTCCAGTACTCCGTCTTCTTCCATGTTGCCCATGCGTCGCCAGAAAGCCAGCGCGACCAGAGAGGGAAAACCGTCCATGGCAATGTCCTCCCAGCAGCAAGGCTCACAATGGAGAACCCGTCAAGATCATCCTTCGTCGCCCATGAACCAGTCGCCGACGTTCCT